TTTTACTGCTATAAAGCCAGTATAAAAGCAGAATCAGAGTTATCAATGTGTAACTTTGCTTCATCCTTACATTTTTCTCTGTATGCCTTTTCCTTATGTAAATGATATTTACTAATTTGACTATCAAATGACCACCAAATAAACTATGTAATTATCAGATTTTTTAAAGGCCCTTGAGACCTTGCAGAGGAAGATACTGTGCAATGACAAAATAATGTATGGAAACACTGAATCACAGAGTGGCTGAGGTTGGTAGGGACCTTTCAAGATCATGTAGCCTACCCTCACAGGAAAAAAATAGTTTCTAATGTTCAGATAAAATTTCTTGTGTTTCAGCTTGTGACCATTTCTTGCTCTACCAGTGGGGAGAGGATGCTAAGGAGAGGATGGGTCCTTATGTAAAACTATGTAGCAGCAACAGAACACCTGTTACATCCTGTGAGATGACTTAATATTTCCACAGAGAGAATCTCACTACCTTTTACAGTATGTAGAACTGTAGTTCTGTAACAAACAGACATATCAGTTCACAATGGATAGTATACATCTGATTTTGACCATGTAAAAAGAATCTACAAACCACTTCCATGCCAGTAAAGTCCAACTGTAAACTAAACTGCACCTGAGCATGGACCCAGCTACAAGCTCTATAATGCAATAGTCCACACTCTTTAATTAGAATCACACTCCCTTGAACAACCTGGACAGCTACCACTCCTCCAGGTAGTCTGAGGACAGTTCAGGGAACAGCATCAGGCTGTTTCCAATAAGCAGTTTGAGTGAGACCCCTTGAAGCTCACATATGGTATCTAAATGGTTGCGTGTTAGCCACTCTCCAGCTCTTGCCTTGCAGGGACAGATTGGCGTGGTCCACTTTACTTATCAGCACAGACAGACTCTAAGCATATTTCATAAGCCAAGGAAGGTCAGAGTTGCATTAATTATAGGTTGCTGTGATTACTTACAATTAACATTTGAAACCTGCTGAAATCAAATGGAAATGGATACTGTCACTGCCTCCTAAGTAAACTGTACATTGAATGAGAAGTTGTCCTACTGACTTCAGTGTGGCCTGGGATTTAGCTGATGATTAGTGACTAAGATTATTTTTCCTCTAAGACCTTTGAATTTAAATGAAAATACTTATGGCATACAAGTTTCTTTATAACAAGTGATCTCCATGCATGTAGTTGAAGTCTGCTTGGCACACTTAAAAAAAGACAGGGGTGTCAGCCCCACTCCTCCCATTTCTGGTGGCTATCAAGGTCAGGAAAAGCCTTAATGTAGATGCTGTAATAATACTGATAGTTCAGAGAAACACCCTTATCTCCCCTGCAAAAGGAAATCTGCTTGTATTTACAGGGTTTGCTATGTTTCTTGATCCATCCACTGGGAAATGCAATCCAGTGTAGACAAGGCCTGAAGTCAAAATAACAGAACAATAAAAGGGATTTACATTTCTCATAAGAAAAACAAGGTTCTTTCCTCAAATGTACTGTTTCTACTTAAGAGTGAAAGATATTCATCACACGTCCTGCAGCATGTTGTTCTTTCCAGATAGGGATTTTGCTGGGAAGTTGTGACACACAGTTTGTGGGAGCACTTGCCAGCTGAGCAATGCTTTCACTAGTGCTCACCACACTCCTTAAACAGGCACACTAATTATGTTACAGGCTGTCTCTATGGAGCTACATGAGGCTATAGGATTTTCCTAGGAACCAAAGCAAGGAAGTCAGCACGTGCCTTCAGTTGAGTTAGCTGTGTATCTGCAGTAACCAGAATTTTTCTTGACAAATAATGACATCAGCATTAAGCATTCACCCTAGAGGTGTTTCAGGTGCTCATGAGTGTTCATACTTTCAGGTTGTCACTGAATGCTTCTTTCAATACCAAGGAGTTACTGAGGATGTGTTCTTATTTAAATACGAAACATACTAGGCATTGATAAAAAGAAGTGTTTTTAATGCCATATACAATTAACCTGGTACGCCACAAATAGCTGGCCTCCAGCTGTACTTAATTTCACTGATCACAGCCTTTGAGCGCAAAGTTCAGTCAGTTTTCAATCCACTTCAATGTCCTTTTAGCTAGTCCATCAGTTTGCCTACAAAAACGTTTCTTGGAATCTGTCAAAAGCCTAAGTAAAAATAAACAAGATCCATTGTTTTTTTCTCATCCGCTGAACAAGTCATTTCATCTTAGAAAGTAAGCTGTGATTTTATTATTGTAAATTCATGCCAACTAGTTTCAGTCTTTCTTGTCCTTCATTCATTTGAAAATGATTGCCAGGTTTATTTGCTCCACCACCTTCTCAGGCACCGAAGTGAAACTAACTAGCCCAGATCTTCCTTACTTCTTGCTCTTCTCAAAGATAGGACTGATATTTGCTTTTTCTACTCCTCAGAACTTCCCCTCCAATCTGATCCTACTCTTATGAGGCCGTCTTCACTACTCCTGATTTTCTGATGCCTCTCAGGTGCCTAGGAATCCTGAGAAAAATCTTCCCAGGGAAGACCAAGGTGAAGATGCCAATAAGTACCTCAGCCTCTTCCACATCCTTTATTACCAGGTCAGATTTATGAACTAATTTATGCTATTACATACAGCAGTATTTGCAATTACAATAGCAGGACGAAAACCACAAGCTCAACAATCTTAGCTAATAATAGGCTTTAGATGCAGTAGTAACTATTTGCATTATAATGATCTAATGATCCCTTTTCCCTCTTCTCAAAAATATGAAGTTTAGAAAACTTTTAGAAGACCAATTGGCATTGTTCTTTCCAGCTACAGTGGTTGAGCAGTTTTCTTCTGAGTGCATTGTTCCATCTGCTTTTAAATATAACTACAGAACAAAGAAGTAGAGAAAAAAGAACTCTGATGGAAACTAACAAATCATTTACATATGCTAAATTTGAAATCAGTGATGGCTCATTTGCACTTGAAGACTAAACTGCATACAGCCTGGATGAACAGCTCTTCTTTCCATAGCAGAAAGAGATAATATGGCAGGTATATAAAGAGGAATAACAAAGATACGCAGGAGGTGATCTTAATTTCTGGCTATGATATTAATGTGATTATTGATTATGCCCCCTCTAGTGTACATATTTCAGAAAGGACGATGAAAAAAACAGAGGTGGTTCAACAAGAAAACATAATTTTGATTACAGAAAATATATATTGAAGTAGAAACTAGAGAATTTTAAACTTTGTAAACTTCAAAGAACACTCAAGCTCATCTGAGACACCTGATTAATCTGTTGGGGTGTGTACATGGGGAAATAAAAAATATTAGCAGATACTGTGATCTACAGGAAAATAGCACTGTGAGCTCTGTGAGTGAAGAGTAAAGTACAGGGAATTGTAAACAGCATCAGACACGCATTTTCTCTGGCTTATACATATCACTGCTAGCCCCAATCTCCTACTCTTCAAAACAGTGCTGACTTTTTGAATTCACAATGCAATGCAGTGGCTTCTTTCTTTCTTCTCAGCATCACATGCCTGCCATGAGGTTAAATGGAAGACCTGCTGCCAGGCACAGACAGATTGCATTTGTTTTTTTCCATTCTCAGTCCTCTGCTACAGATACGCCACTTCCACAGGACCCATTCTCATCAGAACTCTTATTACTTAACCGTAAATGTGACATATATGTCTCTTGGAAAAATATATTTTATTAGTTCATTTATATTGTGGAGAAAGCACCAAAGGAATGACCTCTGTTACACAGATCAAACAAATTATAGAGTATTTTTTTCCTGAATATGTCCAAGGGAAATATCCACAACAGCAAGGTTCTCTTGGAACATCATCTGGAGTTCCAAAGTCCAGGATTCAAGGTCTCTCCACCTGGACAATCAAAACTGCAAACACTCTGTCTGCCTTCTGTGTAAAGCCCTGGGCTTGTGCTTGGTCATACTGGATCATCTGGGACACTCAAGCAAAGACGTGTCAAAGAGCTCTGTGGGAAGGCAGGGTGTTGACCAAACATATGCAGCTTTCAGATAAAGGAGAGAGCACTACCCTCTCCTGCAATGTGCCTGAGCAAGTGTCCCAGGCTTCAGTTTCCAGTCACTAAAAATGCTTAGCTCATGTGTCTTCCAAAGCCCAAATTTTACAACCCACTGACTTCATAATTAAATAGACTTTAAGGCTTAAGATTCCTGTGGAAGTCACCTCATGTGGTATCTGGTAACTTTGTATGATCCCTCTGGCAGCAGATGTAGGTGGACTTAGCTTGTGCAATCCTGCTGCTCTGAGCAGTTTTTAACTTGTGCATTAAACCGTGGCTAGCACCATTGAAATTGGAGGCAATAGTAATAAATCAGGCTCCTGTATGCTGAAGGGGAAAAAAAAAAAAAAAAAAAAAAAAAAAAAAAAAAAAAACCCCAAAAAAAAAAAAAAAAAAAAAAAAAAAAAAAAAAAAAAAAAAAACCAAAACCAAACCCCAACCAAACCCCAACTAAACACAGAAACTCTCTGTAGCTTCTCCAAGTGCAGTGAAGTAGGAAACCCCTGAGGCAGCTGCAGGTGGCTGGTGCTCTGACCACTCTCCTGGGACCAACCAGGTGCACATTCCTCAACGTCTCTAACGCCCAATCCCCACTCGGGCTCTCCGCTGTGCTCCGCAGAGCCATGCGGAGCCCGGCTCTGCCTCGCAACTACCGCATGCCGGGCAGCGACGGGGCCGGCTTTGCGCTCGGAGCGGAGCACCCCTGGCAGTGGGATTTCCACGACAGCCCGGCTATACCAAGTGATGTCTTTTCTATTTGGCTGGAGGGACAGCATTTGGGCCGTGCTGCAGCAGCCCTAACGGCGTTGGGGAGCGCCGCAAAGCCCCGCTCGGGGCGGTGGAAGGTAGAGGGAGCCAGGCCAGGATTCAGCCCCGCGGCGGCCGCCCGGCACGGCCGGGCTCCCGCACCCGGTACCGGCGGCGGCGGGGCCGCTCGGTCACATGGAGGCGCCATTTCCGATGCCCTTGCCTTGCCCTTAAAGCCGCCGCGGTGCTGCCGGTGCCGCGCTCCGCACGGAGCGGTTGCGGACGGGCGACGCGTCCCCGTCTGCCCCCACCGCACACTGCCCGCCGGAGAGGCGGGGTGGCTGCGGCGGGGGACGGGGCACAGGCTCGGCTAAAATCAGCCCTCGCCTAATAAAGCGATGGGGCCCGGTGCCCGCGCCCTATAAATACGCTCGGTGCGCGACCAGCGGGCTTTGGCCGGCGCGGCTCGGCTCGGCTCTGCAGGCGGGCGGTGCAGACAGCGCAGCAGGGCCGCCACTGCCGCCGCCTCCGCTGCCAGGGCAGCCCCGCACCCCAGCGAGATGCCCCGGGTAGACGCAGACCTCAAACTGGACTTTAAAGATGTCCTGGTCAGACCTAAAAGGAGCAGCCTCAAAAGCAGAGCAGAGGTGGGGGCATCCAAACCCAGCATGCTTTTCCTCCCCCTTCTCAACGCTTAACTTCCTTAACCCGCCTTCTCCCCCGCTTTGTTTTCATTCCGCGGTCTGGCGCAGCAATGCCCTCCCCGATCGAGACGCCCTTTGCGTGGCAGGGGGATGCCGCTGCTCTCGGGAGGGAAGGACGGGGCCGGGTTTGCGGCGTCCGCGGCGCGTCCCCGCCACGGCCCCAGGGGAGCCGGGGGTGGCCGGTGCCGCGCTGGCCTGCCTCGCTCCTCAGGCTGAAATACAAGGGGGCAGCGAGGGATTGCTTGCTCCTAACAGGTGCCCCGGCGGCGCTGAGCGGGGCCTGACCTCCGGTTTCGGAGGGGGCGGCGGCGGCGAGCCAGGAGCGCTGCGGACCGGGGTGTCCGGTTACCCGCCCCGCAGCTTGGGCCGGCAGGAGCCGGTGGTGAGCCGGACAGGCAGCAATGCCCTCAGCCTTGGGGGCTGTGGGCGGTGCTGGTACCGAGGAACTGATGTGCTCTTTAAAAAAAAAAAAAAAAAAAAGTAATCCCCGCGAAGACGCTGGGCAGTGCTTCTCAGTGCGCAGGGTGCCCCGGGCTGGGACCCCATCATGGGGGTACTCGGGGAAGTCACGTCAAACCTGGGGCGATGGGTGCGTTTCACCCTCAGCCCTGTGATCGGCATGTGTAGAGCCCTGGAGTGCCCTGGGGCCCCGTGCCTGCTGGCCACTGTTGGCCGGGACAGCTCTGTGGCTCGCTCTCATCAGGGATCGGGAAAGACCCCGGGAAATCAATCCCATAAGGATCGATTGCATCCACAGAAAAAGATGGCTGCCTCAGGATCGAAGGTGCCTTCCCATTTACCGCACATAACCCCAAGGTTAACAAACGATTTAGCTTGACTAAAGAAGGAATTATGTTGTGTTGGTGGATGAAAAGAGGATTAAGATTTTCCCTAGGGGACATGGAGTTCTGAGAGAGAGAGACTGAGGTAGAAAGGGAAAGTGAGACAGGGAGGCTGTGTTTACTGTGGGCCTATGGCCAGGGATTTTGAGGGCAACAACTAGGCAAAACTTCTTTGCCATCACAAGGTGTGAGAGGCCCTCTCAGTAGAAAGTTGATCTCTGGCAAGTAATTTTTAATTTATGGTGAACAGTGTCCCAGCCAAGCAACTCCTCATAGTGTGCAATTACTGTACATAAAGCCTGTGGGCACTTTTGAGCCATTTAGTTGGGGACCTAAGGATCCCTCCTTAAAATTCACTGTGCTGCCTGGCAAACAGGTGGAGCTGTGCTCCACTGAGTGAGTGGCAGGCACACGGCTCCTTCAAGTGCAGTGTTTTGTATATTTAGCAGGGTGCAGGCTGCTGGGAAGGGAAAACGATAGGAGGAAGATGAGCTGATATGGCAGGATTGTAACGGGTGGCTCTGATGAACTGTTAAAACATTGGAGATGAGAAAAAGTGCGTGTCATGAGGGGGTCAGTGAAAACCGATGAAGGTTAAGAAATTGGACACCATCACTGAGGCTGTGGCAACAGGGATAAACAGAGTCTGCCAGAGCCAGATCTGAAATGGACAGCCCCAGTCTGCTTCAAAACAAGAATATAAATAAATAGTTCTGGCAGAGGAACAGAGGCAGCATACTACAGTGCCTGTTACCCAGCAAGCTGCTGCTTTGAAGCTTATATCAGGAAGAGTCTGCTTCTCTGGTGTGAAGCCTCGTGTTGCACAAGGATAGTTTTTTATGCAGCAACTAGAGTTAAGTCAGCTTCCTAGAGAGGCAGTTTGGGATGTTTGCAGATCTTCCTGTAGGTTTGCTATTTTGGTACTTGTTTCTGATTCCTTGCATTGTCTCTATTTTCAATGGTAGCTTTCTATTTTTTGAAAATATGTCAGAAAATGTGATGATTGTATTTAAATACCGAAATTGGTCAGAGCAAGGGTTCAAGTGGGAGCAGCATTATCTGTCTATGGGGTCTTAGTACTCACATAGCCTGTTATTGCCTTGGCTGGGTTTACTCATGGACTCTATCCATTGCAAGTTCAACAGACAAGTGTCCTGTAGGAAGCTGTTAATTTAAATGTCTTACATTTTTAACATTTAAGTAAGTCCACAAGAGCAGCACAATTTGCTAAAATAGGTAGAGAGAATGGCAGCCAGCATGATCAGCAGTGTTGACTGATTTCCACATGGGTAAAAACGTAAACATACCAGGATAATTCAGTATGGAGAAGAAGCAGCTGTGGAGGATATACTAAAAGTGCATAAAGTGAGGAGCAGAATGGAAAAGGTGAAACTGAGTAGTGGTTGTTGATTATCTCTCATAAAACAAGAAAAAGTACTGAATGTATTTACCAGGCAAAGGTCATAGTTTTTATGCAATATATTATTTATTGCTGTGGGATATTGGAGAGGCTTAAAGATGTGAAAGACTAAAAAAAATAGAAGGCAGGGTCTTGCCTTGTCTTTATTTTTCTGTATTTTGGTGTCTTTTCTGAAACGTAACTCTTCTCCTTTTTGGAGTTCCTTGGAAAGAGATGTTTTTCCTTTGTAAAACCACAGGGGCAGTGGTTCTGGTGCTGGCATCTGTGTGGAATTGGTTGTGGGATACTTTTCTGTCCCCCTCCTCCCTTGGTTCTAGTTCATACATTGTGTTAAGAGGGAGTAAAGTAAATTAAATTTTCATACTTGTTTCATATCTATCTTCTTCATACTGTTTTTTGTTAGCTGCAGCTAAAGAATGTTTTGTCATCCATAATGGCTGGAGAATTATACCTCTGATAGTAAATGGGAAGAAAGGGGAGTCTCCATTAAGATGTATTTAGCTTGTTCACAAAAGTGATCCTTCACTTACAAGCTTATAGGAGAACCTGATTCACAATTTATCAGTAAGGCACCAAGATATTCTCTTATATAAATCAGTAATAAATCCCTCACAATATTTATTGGAATCTAACCTGCAATTTGGAAGTGTTCAAAATGTGTTTTAATTGAATAGTAAAAAATTATGTATTTTTTCCTGTTGCTTTCTTTTTTGTGATGGATTTCAGTTTAGTTCAGATGTCCAAATGTTACTGAAAGGTGCAGTGAGGATTAGTGAAAAGTCAAAGAGCCTTCATTTTCGGTAGAGACTAAACTAATAGCTCAGAGAAAGACCTAGGTAGGCCAGTAGGAACTGATCTAATTTGATAATACCTCTTGCAGATGTAAGGAAAAAAATGCCTGATGTTACTGTGATCATTTGAAGGTGCTGTAGAAGAAAAACTTTGAAGGTGAAGGCAGATACAGTTTTAAGACATTAACTAAGAAGCTAGCAGTTCTTGGTTTGGCAAGGCAAGGTATGGTTGTTCATATCGTGTGGCAGGAGTGCTGGTAACTGTGACCAAAAGAACATACTTTATTATATTGTCATTCACCTTGAAGACTGGGACAAAGTCCTCTATGCCCTGGAGATGGAGGGAACTGCAGTTCTGACCTCTTTGGAGTTAGGACTTCAACTTGAGTTTCTCAGGCAGCCATGCAAACAGCTGAGATTACTTCTGGATACAATAACCCAGAGTCCTCATTATCATTTCTTTCCAAGCCCTCCTGCCTTTTTCCTTTTAGTTTTTAAATTTTATTTTGGTTATTTTTCTTAAGTAAGAGCTCTATTTAATGCAGAAAACATTCTTTTAAATTGTTTTCTTGTTTGGAAGGCAGAATTGTAAAAAAAAATTAATGATGTAATAGTGGAACAAAAGGAGCAGGAAATATGAGGAAAATGGAGAAGCTGTGTCTAAACGTGCTGTATCTGAAATCTGTGGAAAAACTCGTGTTAGATTACAATCAGTTACCTAAAAGAATGTGTGTCTGTTCGTTGCAGGTTGACCTTACGCGCACCTTCACCTTCCGTAACTCCAAGCAGACATACACAGGAATTCCCATTATAGTGGCAAACATGGACACTGTGGGGACATTTGAAATGGCTGTGGTTATGGCAAAAGTAAGTCTCAACTCTCATTTCTGCAACAGTTGGGAAGCTGCTGGGTGACAGCCTTTGTTGGGAAGCTGCTGGGTGACAGCCTTTGTTGATTTTTAGCTGTTTGTGGGAGAACAGGGGAACATGAGTTTAAAACTCCAGAATAAGAAAAAGCAGGTATGCTTTTACAACTATACAGTTACTACAAACAGGGCTCCTGATATAACGAAATTTCTGTGGAGATGCTTCCATACTGGGAAGCTTCCATCTTGGATGTAGCTCAGCTTCAGGTGGAGCTGCTAGAGCTTAGCTTCTGAGGTTCTCGCTGCCAGAAAAAAAAAAATAGCTGACAAGTTTTGAAAGTGTAGGTTATCGAATAGGGCTGCAGCACTTTCTAAGTTAATGAGCCTCTGTCACATTCGAAATACTGACAGTAGCTTAATGTAACATATCATAAACCTGATCCTGAAAGGTCGGCTAAGTATGCCAAGTACTTTTGAAAAGCTGTTTATAGTTGCCTGGTCTGTTATTCACTGTTACTGTTTCTTCCAAGCAGGATGAACCTGTACTTAAAAGGGGATTTTCTAATGCCTTATTTTGCAGCTGAGAGAAAAAATTACTAACTGAGACATTAATATCGGTCTCTTGTTTTTTTTGCTAGCATGCAATGTTCACTGCAATTCACAAGCATTATTCTCTGGAAGAATGGAAACTGTTTGCTGCCAATCACCCAGAATGCCTTGAGGTACATTTTTCTACTGTAAATTGTTATGGTTTATTGCTTTGTTCTGAACTCGCATACAGTGGAGTCTCTAGGGAGTACTGTTGTCAAGTGAGGTTTTGGGGAATGAAGATATTTGCTGTTCTTAAATTCATCAACGGAAGTGGCTTGTCCTGTTTCAAAAGAACGGCTGTGTTAGTCCATTACAAAAGTGCTTATATTAAGATGCAAAAAAGCAAAGTTCGTATATGCCTGGAATTGAAACAGAGAAGTATCCTAAAGGAGGAAATACTCTGTGCTTCTGTTGCTGTTGCAAGCTGTGGTAGTTCATCAATGTGAATAATTTCAAGTAACCCAACCCCAGGCAGACCCTGCATACCCTTGTGCCAGGCAAAGTCTTTGCTATCAGGTGTGCAAGTGAATCCTGGAGTCTGCAGGCTGGAAGGGCCTATATACAGGGCCCAGGCAAGGATGAGCATTGAAAGTTGTCAGAGCTTGTGTGTTCTCCACTGACCTTCTTGCACCAGAGCTCCCTTTGTGCTATTCCTGGCTGTGCTATCCCACTTGTTCACAGGGTCATAGCCTGAGCCATTATATTTAGTAGATTTAAACATTGACTTAATTTGTGACTTTCTCAGATAAAGACTTCTTTTCTTCTGTCAGGCCCCTCTACCAGTAGAGGCACTGTAAGTGTGCTTGGCCATCTCCCCTTCCTGCTCAAAGTTCAGTGCAGTTTTTGATCTTTCTCTGTATAGAAAAGAATACCACATTGCTGTATTGTATTATTGTGGCATATTTCAGAATTTTATTGTAAAGGTTATTGATTACAGAGTTGTCTGAAAGTGAGCCTAGCACTTTGGCCAGTCAGGATTACTTACATGCTACCATAGGGTAGAAAGTGGTCCCAGGAATGTCCTGTGTCTGAGCACTTCCAAACTTAGCTCATTTGTGGTACATAATGACTGGAATAGGATCTCCTGTTCCTATAGTGATTAAATACTGACTTGCGCAGTGACTTTGGATTTCTGCAGAGGTTCTGTAGGCCAACAGCTATGGAAACTATTTTGCTTTTGGAAAGAACTCATTGGAAGACAAAGAAAGAAGCAAGTCTGCTTGTTTTCAGTGGTAGCTGACCCTGCTTGAGAAATGGGATTGGACTACAAAATCTCCAAAGGACCCTTCTTCTGTGATTGTATAGATCACAGGAGTGCTTGGTGAACATAAAGACCCAGATTTTACTCTCTTGACAGTGGCCCAAATTTTGCCTCTTTAACTTCCTGGAAATCTACCGAGTTAGGGCTTCATCTGTGTTCGTGTTAATATGAGTATGGCCAAATCTTGATTGATGTCAGATGATTATATATGCCTGTGACAATCCACTTGTGAATGAATGCTAGAATGCTAATTTCCCTCTCCTTTATATAATTTAAACTCGACAGAAATAGCCGATTTTCCCAGGAAGGTATTTCATAGTGTGATTTTTCACTAGTTACCAGCACAAGTCCTGCCAAGATTATGCAGGAAAAGACATACAAATTGTATGTGTTTATTTCAGTTTTTTGCAACGTACTACTCTGTTTTGTTCTCTCTGTTTTTTTTAGCATGTAGCAGCAAGCTCAGGTAGTGGACAAAATGATTTGAAAAAATTAACAAGTATTCTAGAGGCCATTCCAGCTATCAAATACATCTGCCTAGATGTGGCAAATGGCTATTCAGAGCATTTTGTGGAGTTTGTGAAGTCCGTCCGTGCCCTGTTCCCACATCACACCATTATGGTAAGTATGTAGAAAGAGTGGAAGGTGTGTGAATTCCATCCAGGAGCAGGACCCAGAGTTTCACTGGTAGGCATCAGAAGCTAGAAAAGGAAGGGAAGCAAGGAAGGATGTTTAGTAACAGTTTGATATTGTCTGATTAAGTTGGCATGGAGGACTGGGTGGATCCAGTTACTTTCCTACCCATGTCCACCTTCCTACACTAGATGAGATCTCTAATCGTTAAGTATGTAGATTTATTTTGGGGATTCCAAGCAGAGGTTTGCTGTGGGAATGTGCCAACATTTCTGGCCAGCTGTGGCCAGTGATTGTTAGATCACTGTGAAGACAGCTCAATGCAGACTGATCCTTGCCTGTGATAAGAATGAGAGGGATGTTGGGCAGTTGCAAGCAGGATTATCAGAGAGCAAAATGATCAATGCTGGGGCTTTTCATGGTGCTTTCTGTGATACTATCCCATCTCAGAGTGCTAATTCCATGCTTCCTTGAGCCCTTTTGCACCAAGAATAGGGTGTTTATATTGATATGGAACTCATAGCAGAAGAGCACTACTGCTGCTTTCCCAGAGATCTTGAAGAAATGTGTTTGAATTGTTTACATGAGAAGAGCAGAAATCCTCAAACAAGCAGTAGATCTGTAATGAAGTTATCAGCCTTTCTTCAAGCCAGTGCAGCAAAAAATCGTGTTTAGGCAACACTTGCCTGCTTTCCCATGCTACAGATAAAGCTTCATGTATGTAAAGTAAATGTGAAGTAAGAATGTTCCTAAATACACATCCTGCATTGGCTTAATAGAGAATAACATGTTTAAGCAGCTCAGAAGAGGATGCATTCCTTTCTCCCATGTAGGAGGAATGCAGTGTTTTTGCTTTGGAATGATGGAAAACTGAAGTGAGCTGGAATGCTTGTTGGATTCTGGATTATCATAGGCTAATGAATAGGCATTCTTCAACAGCTGCCAGGAGAGGTGGGAGCCATTTTAGTATGGTCATATTTCCCATGGCTTTGGAGAGAGAAATTTTGGAACTATGAAATGATAAATGTGGGTCTTCTGAGCTTTCTGCTTCATGTTCACTGCAGTGAAGGAAGAAACTGTTTCCTTGCTTTGGATCTGAAGTATTGTCCCTAGTTGACATGATTACCCCAGTATCTTGAAGAGTTGTGGGAGGGAGCTTAAATCACATAGTTAAAGCCAAAGACCATCTCTCAGGAGTGGAAAGAAAATTGTATGTCATGCCCTCCTCCACCTCCCCACAGATTGCTGACTTTGCTGACTGAGGAGGGAGCTCAACCAAGATGAATTCCCCAGAAGGCAGAGAAGGTCAATGTCAAAGTCAGATATCAAGCCCAGATTTTAGTCCAGGCTTCTTAGGTCAGTCTCATCCACCTTCCGTGTCTGTTCAACTGCCTTCCTAGTGTCTCTGCTTTTGTGGCTAAGGTTATTGTTACTTCAGGTCTCAGTGTCCTGACAGCACCACCTGCTTGAGCACATTTACAGCCCTGACCTGTTCAGTTGCCTTCTCCAATTGTAGCTTCTTTCTCTGAACATGGCTTAATACAGCTTATGTTTTTCATCTCTGCACAGCAATAATTTCCACTCCTAAAAGCATGCTAACAAACTTGGGGTATTCAAAAACCTTCTATTTTCCAAAGCTTCTGGAGTCTGTTCAGTCCCTGCAGGTCTCTCATTCTACTAGATACCCACCTCTACCTTCCTTCCAAATTAATTCATGTTCTGTGCCAAAATGGCCTTTTGAAGCTGTTCCTGGCTGAAATGCAGGAGCTGGTCTAGGTTCCTTTTAATGATAATCTGTAAGACATGTCCTGCTGCTCCCTGTTCTGGCTGCTTTGGTGTGTCTGTGCTATGCCTGCAGTATGTTCTCTGCTGCTGGGGCTTTCAAACAAAAGGGTTAGCAGTTAAATAGGAGGTATAAAAATAAAGAAGCTTTCTCATGGCTGAAAGTGATCTCCAGGACCTTGTTTGCTCTCCTCAGCATGACTGTTCATTCCACAGTCAGCTGTAGTGCAATACATAACAGTAACCCAACCCTGGATCTCGGGGAATGTGTGTTCCCAGGGGCCACGTAATGGGTTCAGCTCTGAGGCTGAAAGGGGATATGCAAAGCAACTGTGGTTAATGTAGTACTCTCTGTGGCCAATACTCCCTTGCAGATGGAGTATGTCTTTTGTGTAACAACCTTTCAAATGCATGTTTCTGTCTTTTTAAATACTTTTGTAATCACATTACCTTATTTTCTTCTTCCTGGTTCTGACACAAGGTTTTTTCATTACTGCATTTTGTATTAATTTACAAAGAAGATCAGTTTCTCCATGGAACACAAAGGGTAGGGAAGATAAACAGGAGCACAAAGATACAACATGACTTGTCTTAAATCACTCATCAGGTTAGGAATGGGGGAAGAAGGAATATTTAAGTCTTCTGAGTGTCCCACAGGTGCCTCTCAGAAGATCCTGAGGAGGATCACCCATTGGGGTATTTTGCTGTTGTGTGGCATTATGTGCATCAATTGTGTTTGATTGCTCAGGTCTAAAGAAAACCTTTAGTCAGCATTCATGATGGAGGATCAGAGCCTTTGTATTACAGGTTGCATAGTCCTTATTTATTAGTTTAATTGTAGACTTCAGGGTTATTCCATCACCTTGAAAGTCTTTTTACAAGCTAAGTTATCTTTGCCAGCAAACTTTGTCAAGTTTTTGTCCTGAATTTTTCTTTTCATGCTATTCCTCTGTCTGTTATAGATGAGTAAACCTGAGGGGAGCAGGGAGAGTGGCAGGAAGACTGAGGCAGGAGCACACTTGGAGATACAGTAGCACCCACAAGGTGTGGGCCCGAGGAGGAGACAAGAGGAATTGCAAAGCAGAAGCAGAGGGAAACGGTAGGAGCCAGAAATTGTTGCTCCTCCTTGAAGTCAGTCGCAGAACTTTTCTGGGCCTTGGAGGCAGAATGGAGGCCAGATTCAGTCAGAGAAAGCCATGCAGACTACTCCCAGGTCATTCCTGGAACACACACCAGAGTAAATTCAGTTGTGGCGTGTCTACCAGGGCTGATGTCTCAGAACTAGGACCAGGCAGGATCCCAGGATAGAAGAGAGTGATGCTGCTGAGCCTGTCTCAGGTCAGGCACAGTACTGAGTGCAAGTACCCACTGGCTATGGCTCAGCCTTGTACAGGGCAATTCCATCTCATGGTTAGGCACCCCTTGCTTTTGTGGGTAGGAAGTGTCCTTTGGCCTTACTGATAATGTGAAGGCACAGACTGTGCTTTCCTCTAGGATACAAGAAGAAAGTTTGAGAACTGTTGTCATAGACACTTCTCCCCAGCTTGATCCATTGCCATTTGCCAGCAGCTTTCAATCAGTGCAGTAGTGTTCCTGTCTTAGGCAGTATGAGTTGGTATTTATAGCAGGCTTTCATGAGGCACAGTATCAAATGCCTGGCTGAAAATCAGAGACACTGCCCTATGTGTTCACTAATTTTGTATCTCTGTCACAGGAGCTGTAGTCTTTATAATCCTGCTAGGTAAAATCTTGATTTTATTAAAGTCAGTAGGGAAACACCCTTTGTCTTTTCTGAGGCCAGGATTTTCCTTAGGAGTGACCTACAGTTCAGTCATCCTGGATAGTTCTGGAATGACCCAGGGTGGTGTTCACTTGATACTTCATACTGAGTGATACTACATCACAATACTTGCACCAATTGCTTTGTTCCCTGACTGCTTGTGTAAAGACACTAAAAAGTATAATGTCTGTAGTGACTTCACAGTGCACGTTCCAATTGTATTCTATTATTTTAAGTTAATTTTAAGAGGGTTTAATTTCTGTAGTCTCAGTCTTTCTATATTGAAATTTTCAGATTGTTTTTTCTTTTTTTAAGTTGAAGTATTCTGACTTTAGCATACCAGTAAGGACTTCAAAAGCCTTTTTGCCTCAATTCAGCTTTCATGCTGGTATCAGTGGTAAGGCAAGCATTGGTTTCTGTAAAGCAGAGTTCAGCTGGATGTGAGTAAACTGATTTCCCTTCAGCTGTCATACTGGGGTCTCTTCACATACAGATAACTGTGCCTCTCTCATAGTGTTTTTTTTTTTGTTTTGTTTTGTTTTGGTTTTTTTTTTTTGTGCTCTCTGAGGTCTGAAAAAGGTACCTAAAAGAAGCAAGCCTCTCATTGCCAGGTTGAAGTCTGCTATGTACAGCTCCACGTCTTCCTTGAAAATTTGTTAAGAATCTGCAGATTAAGAAAGACAGAAATCAGTGATGTGTGTACATGCATTCCAGGAAGAAATGTATGCTGGGGACATAAGTGCTTTCCCCGCTAGGATGAGCATTTTGAACCAACATATGCAGTTCCAACATTTTCTAGCGGTAACTTAACAGTAAACGTCTGGTTAACATTTCTGAAGAGACAGTTTGACAACTCTCTGTGCTCTGCTAATAAGAAGACACTGCTGTTTAAATTAAATACATATTTGATCCCAAATCTCATTGAAACATTGACTTGAATTCCTATTTATGAATTTTTTGAATGTGTTCCAGTATTTCACCAAGTTGTACTGTGGTGTGTGTCATACAGCACAGGTGGTCATCTGCCTTCCAGAGGTAAACTGTTTCCTTCATGTCCTAAGTAGCATGCTCTTCATCAGTCCACCTTGGAATGTACAGCACTTAGTATAACAAATTGCCACTGAGCAGAAAGGAAGCAGCACTTAGCTGAAACACTGTACCTATTATATATTCTTTATTTCCTGATTGTTATATTTTTTTTTATTTTTAATCAATATCATGCTCTTTTGAGCAAAGTGGTCCTATATCATAGACCACAAATTGCTGCTTGATATTGTCATTGTCTTTATAAGTGCTTCAGGTGGTGGCTTGTCAGCTGTTTCAAGCTAATAAAAGGAGGAAGCAAAATTCAGTAAAAATAAATAAATGGTGAAATAGGAGTCAGAAATCCATAAGTGGAGAACAGGCCTTGCCCAATATTCCCTTGGTACCCTTCTGCTGACTTTAGAATTTGCCTCCTCTGTCCGTATCAGTACTGCTACAAGTGCTTGCTAAGTCCTGCAGTATCATTATGTAAGAAGTTTTCTGAACATCTCTAGATCTAAATTCAGATCTCCAGAAATGAATAGCCTGTCCTTAGTACAAGTGCAAAACAGGTTATGTGGAAAACTGGAGATTTATCTTTGACTGTTTTCCTGGTTAGGAATGTTCTGTAGACATGAGACAAGCCACAGAGCTGAGATAGGAACCAAACCTGGTTTGTAATCGTCCAAGAGTAATGAAGGAATTATAAATGCTAGAGCAGGACCCCTCTCATTACCTATCCAAGGTCTTGGGAGTGTGGGGAGGTTCCTGCTGCAGAAGGTGAAACGGTGTTATTCCAGTTTACAAGAGGGGTGTTAGGGAAGACCTGGGAAACCAAGCGCAAAGGCATGGGGCACTGGCCACCTCTGTAGGAAGCTTCTTCCAGGGTTTTCCACACTCTTTCTGAAGAACTGATTATTCATGTCAGATCTGAACCTCCCTGAGACACAGTTTTGAGCCATTCATATGCATCCTGTCACTGGATCCCAGTGAGAGCTCAGCACCCCCCTCTCCACTTCCCTTCCTCTGGAAGCTGTAGTGAGTAATGAGGTCACCCCTTGGCCACCTTCTCTCCAGGCTAGATGAACCCAGTGCCATGGCCACTCCCCGCAGTACCTGCCTTTCAGTTGCATCACCAGCTTTCCTACCTTCTTCTTGCACATTCTAAGGCCTTCACATCCTTCTTAAATTGTGGGCTGCAATTTATAGGATTGCATTCCTGTACAATGCTCCCTCAGAGTATGGGAATGCAATTAGTACAGCTGTAGTGAGTCAGTTCAGTGTGTGCTATGTCAGCATTCCTTTGCTTTGTGCAGCTCTTTGCAGAGAGGAAAACGTGGTCTGAAAATGCACTGGCTAACAGTTTGTTTTCAAATGTAACTCAAAGCATAGGTTTTAGCTCATAAATCTCCTTTGAACTGGATTCAAATGTCATTTGAAATCTTAGCTCTTTGAAGACTGTCTTTTCCCTGAAAATCATCTGGACAGGGGACACTCCTGGCAAGGGAATTAATCTCTAGCCTTGCTCTGACTGCTGATCCATCAGATGCACAATTGGACACATGCAAGGGCCTGTCTTGTCACACTGAGCTTGCATCAAAATGTTTCTTTAACTGAATAGAATAGACTGGCAGCTCTCTGCACTTACTGCACCAGTTTTGCAAACCAATTACCAAGTATGTGCTAGAAGGTTGTTTTGTAGTTTCTTTTATTAAAAGTATCAGTAATTTCATCACACTGGTATTCTTTGCATTCACAGCATCCAAGAACCAGAAAAATCTGTATCTTGTGCTATGTTACTACAGGCCATGTACCCAGCTGAGGTACATGGCTCTAACAGGAGAGGGCCCCCACCTCAATAAAGCACATGTGAAAAACATTACTCTGGGAATAAGTAGCACAGTATTGGGGGAAGTTCTGCAAGTTTCTGCTACAGTCTGGAGTAGGTAAATGTTCCTGGAGGCATGAGTAGATCACAAGGTGATTGTGAGCCACCAGTGTGACACAGGCAAATGCATTCTTGTGTGTCAGGCAAGATATTTCCATAGAAAAGGCAAGTGTTGTGCAAAGCCTTGGTGAGAACTCACCTGTGTCAGTGTGAATAATTCTCATTCCTCAGGTTCAAGAAAGATCTGTCTGGTATGACTTCAAGACTAAGCAATTGATTAGGGATATGGAAAGCCAATAGAAGTTTTCTAGAAGAAGCAAGACAAAGGTTGTGAGAGCTGTCTTCACTTTCAGCAAAGATAAGAATGTAGGCAAAAGGAGGAAAAGAGCTATTGAAGTCCAAGAAAAAATATGTTAAAGAGCACAAACCAATTCAGAACTTCTTTCAAAGAAGATGTTACCCTAAACAGCATGCTCTCTTTATCTCTGCAAAGGTCATGCGGGGGGAACCAAACCCCTATTTTTAACCAGTGGCATCAGCACAGCCAAATGTATGTATATGGTGTGAATGCTCAGATTCATATAGTCTGTATGTACATACCAATTTTGGCACCAATGTACAAATTTAGAAGAATAGTACCTTACTTTCAGTGGGAAAAATACTGAATCCTAAAGGAAAAATATATTTTCCAGTGTTTTAAACAAGACCTGAACTTCTTCCTATGAAGCAAGTTGGGCAAAAGGCATAGAGGTCTCTAGGCTGTTCAGGAGAGATAGTAGGGCAGGAGAGGTGGATAAATTCACTGTATGTAAGAGCAAAGAATAGCCCCTGTGCTTAGGGATGATGTAGCAGAGAGCTTCTGGGTGATGATTAGGAGGATGGATAACAAAGCAGATCCCTTGATAGAATGTTAGTGATCTACTTGTTAAATAAATTTGATTGGAAAATTTACCTATATGACTGGTTTAGTCTCAGTGGCACATCCAAGGAACAGTATGGTGAACTATATTCTTCCATACTCTGCGTAGTTCAACTTCTAAAAACTCTGGATCAAACTTTACATTATATTTTTTACTACAGTAGTCTTGGGATCTTCTGTATATGTGATACTGTTACTTCTTTCTAGGCAGGCAATGTGGTGACCGGAGAGATGGTAGAAGAACTTATTATTTCTGGAGCAGATATTATTAAAGTGGGTATTGGACCAGGTAAGTCAAATAAGGATGGCTTTTGGTACTGTTGGTAGAGGATAGAGGAGCTGTCCAGATGGACCAAGTGTATAATGCTGTTTCCCTGCCTCTTAGAATGCCAAGACCCACTCAGGTCAATAAAGTACCAGTGAACTTGCACACAGTGTAAAAATGCAGGAGGTAGATGGTGGGTGCTGCTGCCTAATATCTGTTCCCAACAAACATCTCCTGTAGAAAAGCAAGTTGGGTAAACATTCAGACAACGCAGTCATATCCACACATCATATTCACCGCAGCTGGCTCAGCGAGAAGAGGCAAGAAAGGCTCTTTTGGCAAGGTTTTATTCCAGTCACATGAAACTGAAGGTAACCCACCGAGAAAGAGCGTGACCACCTGGAGCAGGCAGCTTAAGAAGGAAAAGGGTGGAGCTAAGGGCTGGGCAGGGCGCAGCCACCAGGGGTATCCAACAATGAAGGAATAGGGAGAGGAGAAACCAGGGGAAGTCCATCTGAGTCTTGTCTTTTACCCTGAGGTGGACTACTCTATGGTAGTCATTGCTGTTGCCAAGGCAGGGGACTTGGGAATGTGCTGAGAGCAGAGAGTTCATGGGATGCTACAACAGTGTGTTTAAGAAATCCACATACTGGGTGCCAGTGTTCCATACTGAATAGTGTTGTGTATTGCACCTTCAGTCAGTGTTGTTCCAGTTGTTACTGGAAATGCTGGGCTGCCTGAGTTTCTGACATTGCCACCGATAACGTGTTTGGGAACACTTTTCTAGCCTGTTGAAAAGAGGATGAATCATCCAAGCTAATGATCAAATGATACTGTGTCCAGGTGTCCACCTCTATCAAGGAAAGACAGTTTTCTGAATACCTTTATGATTTGTGTTCTGTTAAGCTGAGGTTATCCCTATCAATGTCTTCAAAGATGAAATGGTGTCAATTGTAAAATACGGATAACTTTGCCTCTAGCTGTTACTATTGCCTGGGAGCTAAAATTTACATGAATGCACTTAGATGCTATCTATCATTTTACCATTTCTGTGGATAAAAGAGAACCTTGACCTTCTTACAGTGTTTTCCCTATCTTCCCATACCTAATATTGTTGTCTGGCATACATTGCCTTAATCTTTCTTTCCTTTTTTTTTTTTTTTCCCTTCCTTGTGCCTTCCTTCACATGTTCCTTCTCTTGCTATTTTCTTCTTAGATTGCACCTGGAGTCACTATATGTGGGCTAGATTTTAAAGTGGCTAACACAAATGCCATGGTCAGTATAGCTGTGATCAGCCAGTGCAGTGCAGGCATATTGTTTACTCTGTAGTGCCAGATAGTTATGGTCCATGAATGGATAACTGGAACAGAGAAAATGATGTAATAAACATTGCAGTTGTGCCCAGGAAGATATCAAATAATAAATACTACAAAAAAGATGAAGAATCAACAACAACGATTTCATGGTGTAATTGTCATGGGCAACTTCAGATTTAATATAAAAATAATTATAATTTGTTGCCTCAAACATGGAAATACAGGTAAATGCTGTATAGTCCTCCCTGGAGATCTTCCTGAACAGATCAGTACAAATTGACCATGCAAACCCACAAGTAACAAATGTTTCTCCCTCAGATCTTGAGGCTCTTTTCCAGATAATGATCCATCTTGTGAAAAATGGCAGTGATTTATTATATAGCATTACATACACTATGAAGTGCAAGCCCTGTGGAACTTATATTAAAACTGATTTTCTTACTATTTTGCAAGAATTCTCAGTGTTTTCACTTGGTCAGTTCCTTGGTAACTTCTGCTTTACTAGTAGCTTGAGTATACCTGGATATCAGCTGAGTGAAGGGATCCAGATTTCACTGCATTTTGGTTTAGAATCTGTTTTGAAATTCTTGTTACCATGCAGACCTTTTAGGTCTGTATCCTAAATTATAGGATCTAGACTGGCGAAAAGAAGTCCTCATTTTAACTCTTAATTTAAGGGGACAAAATAGAGAAGATACAGAAAAGAGATAGAAATATTTATTAGAAGAAATAGTCAATTAGAATTAGAAGAAATTAATGCTGCTGCTGAGTCTTGCAGGTTGTGATTCTGGTCCTTTTGTCTCTTCCCTTCAGGCACCTCAATCAGATTTGCTTTCTTGTGATGCAGTAATTCTCTCACTGAGAAACATTACTGATGGGAACTAAACTTGGACTAACCCTGGAGACGAAAGGGGAGACATTAGTCTCCTCAGCCACAGTTTTCATGAAGTGGCATGAGAATATTTCAGAACTCAAATTCCTATGTGCTCCTTTTATCTGTGAGAAGCCAGCATTGGCAATATAGATTTCTTGGGAGAAAAATAATGCTGGTAAAAACACATTTTTTCTGTATCATTTCTGTCATCCTAATGGACTATGTTTATTCCTCTCATTCTCTTGTCTAGGTTCTGTGTGTACCACTCGAATTAAGACAGGGGTGGGCTATCCACAGCTAAGTGCTGTTATTGAGTGTGCAGACTCAGCACATGGCTTGAAAGGACATATCATCTCTGTAAGTAACTATCATCCACTCTCAGATTCCTACTGTGCAAATTGTGGAATGGGAGAATCAAACAATCTAGTACCCTGCATGTTAAAGCCTGTCCTTCTGTCATCCCCAGCTGACTCTTGTATTATTTCCTAGAACAGTCAGTGGAGATCCAGATGTAAAGAAACCAGCTCTCTAACATTAAAAAGATGTGGGCACCTCACTCCTGTTTATGCCTTTTGAAATCTACTTCTTCCTTAGTGGAGTAAGCTGTTATGTAAACAGAATAGGAAGCTTGGTAGTGTTTTCACTATTGAAGCAAACAGTAATTCCTATTAAAGACTTCTGAAAAAGGGGTGGAGTATAAACATGACTTTACTCAGAATGTGACTGAGGGGCAGGCAGGCAATAGCAGGGAGTACTAGGTAAAATGATGTGAGCCCATCTGTGTTCTAGTTGGATTGATTCAGAGAGGTGAGAGGAAAACAAACTGGATGGAGATGTGCAAAGGGTTTGACTGGACCTCTTGGAGTATAATGGAATAGGAACATGTGTTATAGTCAGCTCTCTCTTGCTCTTTATTGTTAATGAGTATGCATTCCCTCCTCTCTGGCTCCTCTGTATGAATTTTTCAGAAAAAAGGAGAAGCAGTCTGTGATTTTTATGACTTGGGCAGTATTACAAATGTTTCTGTCTATAACAGACAGTAGAAGGTGTGCAACAGAGCACGAAAGTCTCACTTATTACTGTAAAGGCTGGATAAGTATAGGTGCCATCCTGGCAGTGGTGCTCAGAGACCTATCCTAGTTTTGCAATAATTATTTTCTGCTAGCAGCCCTCAGAAGAATGCTGTTATCCTGATTTTACAACAAAACAGGGAGTGTGTATTCAGACTGTTGAAAAATTAGATGGTTTTATACTGTATCTCCTTTCATGCTTTGGGAATAGATCAGTTCTTGACTTGCTCAGGTTTCAGTGATCCCGCACCTATCAGCCCCCTGTGGGGGAATATAGGAGGGCAATTTGATACCTGTCTGCTACCAACATCTGGACCAAGAGAAACACCTTCAGCTGCAGCTGGGGTCTTTCACATCACTTCAGCTCAACTCTGTCACCTAATCTAAGAAGAGTAAAGCAAGGGTAAGGACATTATGCCTGAATTCTGGAGCATTCAGATGGGTATTGTTGTATTTATTAGGGAAAGAAAAGTTTGGATTGCATGGTTGTTGCCAGAGCTCTGGCAAGAATATCATGGAAGAGAGGTATCCTCATGACAGAAAAACACCATATGGCAGCAATTCTAAGTATAGAGTTGGGTCTGGTGGCAACAAGTATATGTGGCATCCCTCAAAATGTCTCACTGCTGTCTTCCTGCAGATTGAAGAAGGGGCACACCCTACTTGAGCCAAAAAAATATCCCTACAGGCAGAATATTACCACAGCTATTAATGTCAATTCCCCCAGAGAAAATATGTCCAGCAATTTTTGTTATGTTGATATGAAAGTAGCAGGAAGGACATGAAAAGATTCAAAGCCTACCAGCTAGCTTCATGTAGATTGTAGCTAATGGTGTGATATGGGTTAGTCCCTTGGGGTGTTTGTATCCACTTCTGTCTTGTTCGGTACCTTCATCAAATTAACTCCTCATTCTTGTTATATTGGTACAATTTCTATATGAAAGAAAATAAGTCAGTCTTACTCTCAGAATGAGGAAGTGGTGGTGCTGAGCACAGTATGGGCACTGCAGAGAACACAGCATGACTGAACCCTGATCTTTAGGAGCTCTTCTAGGGTGGAACGCAAACTGGGATTTTAAACTTTCCTAATACTGAAGTTATCATGTATGATTTTTGGAACTGATTCATTGACAGGGAAGGTGACAATTTTCAGGCAAACATGATAGTCCAAGTGAACACCTGGTGTCTGTCTATTCATTTACACAGAGAAGTAGGAGGTAAAATTACACCAGTTACTTTCCTCATGCTAAATTATCTGTAAGACTAAAAGCTCAGCTCAGAAATGAATCTTTCATGACTCACTGAAAGCAGAGAGGAAACCCTCCATGAGATACAGGCATGGTTTCTGTCCCATGCTGTTCATTTGGGAGCCAGTAGTCTCAGTTTTCTTTCTTGCGAATCCATTGGCCTTGAGAAAGTGCTGCAGTGAGTTACAGTGGAGGGGGCCTGCTGGAGATTTCTTGCAGGTCAGAGAACTCCTCTGCTGGACAGAGGCAGTCACGTATTCTAGTAAGCCAGCAATGTGGGAATGGAAAGCAGCCCTGCATATGTCCTCTCTCATGTGGCTGTCATTTGACAGAGATCCCTGCTTCCCCTTCTCCCTGCCTGGGTGATAGGTCACCAGCATTTAGAGAAAAGAATGACTAAGGGCTTCTTCACCCAGCTGCTGCCATACTGTCCCTTTTTCCACACAGAACACTTTCCACATAGAAACATACCTGGTATATGTAGTTCAGAATAAAGTACCATATGTATTGTTTTTACTGCTGTATATGCCACATACTTTATGTATCTTCTGCATAATAAATATCTATCTGTTTGCTGATAGCATAGAAAGCACTGGTTGTGCAGTTTATTGTAAAGGTTGCTTGAAACATAAATCAGCATTATAAACTCATTATAAATTGCATTTATAATGTTCAACCAGTGTATAATGGTTTTCTATGCTGTATTTTTTTTCTTACTTGGGATAAATTTTGTTGCTGTAAAAATGGCTTATCTATATGGAGAACAATATTGGGGACAAAACCATTACTTCAGTCACATTAAAGTAATTCTGTTGGGAAAGCTGCTTTCCCCCATCCTTCTTCCTAGCACCCACTTGGCTCAGAATCGTGCTGTCTACAGGTTCCATGACCATAACTCTTTCCACTAGTCTTACTTTAGTGTTATGCAACTTCTCCTGAATTCAGAGACAGATTTTTACAGATAAATTTCCCCAGGGTTCTGAGGTAGAGGCTGAGCCTGCAGCAAACTCTGTAACTGAAGTTCAGCCATCTACAAATCATTTTGAACCCAGACCCAGGGTTCAAAACAGGGTCCTGTTTGGACAAGCTGAATTTCAAGGGTAAGCTTCCAATGCAATGCAGTAGCAGAACAGTCTTGCTTTGTAAACAGAGTGCCTGTTTTTATCACTTGGAATGAAGTGCTTTACTCCATATAGCTTTATTATATAGCATCTTCTGACATAACTGTTTAGTATGGCCCCTTTTCGTTTCCCTTTCTGTGAATCACTGAATTTACCTGCTTATCTGAAGTAACTGAAGACATCTACAGATAAAGAAGGACTGTGAATCATCATTGTCAGTTCCTTTTATCTTAAATGGTAATCCATGAGCTTTTGGGCAAGTCTCTTAAGCTGCTCAGCATTTTGTAATTTGGTAACATTCAAAGTGATATTTTTTGAAGCCAATGATTAATGGCTACACAGTAAGGCCTCCATCCTCATGGTACCTCTGAAAGCATAAAACCTTCATCACTGCCGCTACTGGGTTAGTTATAAAAGTCAGATACAGAGCCACCCAAAACCAACTGACTCTAACCCAACTAGCAGAGAGCATTCAAAGCCAATGTCTCTCAGATAGTAAGAGTCCTAAAACTGTTCTTTGAAGATTATTAGACTCTTCTTTCTACTGTGGCCCTTCCTCCCCTGACACACGCACTCACACCCTCCTCCAAGCTATGACAGACTTGTTAAAGGGAAAGAATTGCACAAGCAAAGCCATTAAAAGGAGAGAGAGATTCAGCTGTCAGCCCAGCACTCATTCCTGGAGCTGACAGCAAGGGTGTCAAAGCTCAACAAAAGGCATAATGTGCTAGAGGTTATCAGCAAATGGAATAAAAGCCTTTAAAATTCTACCAGGCACTGTTTGCAGTGGGGTGCCCTTTGAAAAGCCACTCACTTTTGGATCCACCTGCTCAGTTTGTGTCAGAATCCTCTTCTGGGCACACAGAGTTTCTAACCCCCAGCCCTGCTGCTAGCTGCCCATCAAAGGCAGCTCTGATGTGGCTGATGGAGGGGGTGTCTGGCTGTGCTCGGCCGCAGGTCACGCACAGCCATGCATTTGTGCCAACAGGGAGGTGAAACAGCATGAGGTAGCCAGCCAGTCTGGGGGTAGCTTCAAAAGCAGGAAAGATGTTGGCAGTCTGCAATGGATCCAGATCATCAAAGGAATGGGGAGCTCTCCTGGTACAATGACTGTGTAGACTAAAGGATCTTTCATCTGGTGCTCAGACCTTTACAAATCCTAAAGAACCATAGCACGTGATGATCTCTGATGTGTGCCATTCCTTTTTTACAACTCTTATCACACATACACAACCTCCTCCCCTCAGCTGAACCCTCTTCATCAGCCACTGCATTGTACTGAAACTGAAATGTGTCGGTGTAAAATGCTAAAGGTCCAGAGTGCTGTTGCTTCCTTACCAAGACCATAGCAAACAGTAAGGAGTAGGATGAGAGGCTCATTTTCACTTACCAAAAATTGTATTAACTGGGTTTGTTAGAGATTATCAGATAAAAATCCAACATAACTGATGGCATATTCCCTCTTTCCTCCCACTGTGACCTTTTAATATATTGTAAACTGCTGAGAAATTGTTTTTAAATGTATTCGGTGGTTTAAGGTAGAGGCTTGTGGTACCTCTGCATCACACAGCCTTACATTAAAATAGCAGGGGATGATTCAGATCATCAGTGTAGGTTTTGTTTTCTGGTTTTTGGGATTTCGAAGCTTGCAGTCAGGAATTTGCATTGCTGCTGTTACCAGTGGTATTGCCAGTAGACTGTACAGTAGAGTAGGTGAGCCTCAAGGAGGTAAGCAGTGGAAAGGATTATTTGGATTCTGTGAAAATATAGCCAAGATGATACATCCCAGGTGCACGGTCAGCTCTCTTGACAGGCTGTTCTTGAGCAGAGGCCACAGTGCTGCAGGTCCCTGAGTGACCTTGCTGCCACTCACTGTCATCTTTTCTTTGTGCAGGACGGAGGATGCAGCTGCCCAGGAGATGTCGCCAAAGCGTTTGGTAAGAACAGTGCGGTGTGACGCCCCCACGTATCTCCAGCGCCTCTGGCAGCAGGGATGCAGGAATCGGTGTGACCCTGAATGTGCAATCAATTAGCAGGAGGTTTAGTCCCTGCAGCTGACTCCAGTGAAATTAATGCACCAGGCATGAATTTTCTCTTTGAACAGACAGTCCAAATTCTGCAGTGCAAAACATAGAGAGGTCAAGGTTATATTTAGAAATTATCTGATAGGTGTGTATGACATATACCTGCTGGGAGAGTAATACGAAGAAAACTGATAAGGGTTTCTTCTGAGTAGGGTTCAGAAATGCCTGTAACATTGCCAGATCTGGCTGACTTGAGCCTTGAATGGAAGAAGAGCTGGTGGAATGCATGTTGGACAGAAGAACAAAACAAAAAGGCAGGCCAGATCCCTGGAGATGTTCTTGGGATCAACTGTCCACTTGAAGATATGAGATTTTATTTATTCTGTATCTCCTAGAGCTAGGCAGATGTCTGAAACATCTAAGTTAATAATTAACAGATTTTGCTTTCATGTAAATTCAGTGAATTGCACCAGCTCTTAGTGATAGAATAGAGGATTTAATCTGTGAGTATGGTCTGTTGGGCATGAGAGTTATGTTGATATGAGGGAGTCAAACTCATGATTGTCACTTAGCCATAACCTTGTTACAGCAGCATATGGGATGCAGACGCTAAATGCATCCTGAGATCACAAGAGATTTAAAGGTATTTCCCCACCTCCCAAAATGCCAGACTCTTTGGAGGTGTCAAGTAGGGTAATGCCTGGAATACAGTGGGACAGCACAGTATCTCACTGGGATTTCAGGGTGGTATGAAATCAAGACACAGTGTATTATGATAGAGTGTCTGCTTTGCAGGAAGCTTTGCAAATATGGAAAGTAGAGGCAGGCCTAAATTCAGATTATAGACTTGCCAAGAAACTCTAGGCCTGGAACTCAACTCCTGGAAATGTTGAAACCAAAATCTGTCTTCTAAGTTTGCAGACAGATCCAGTGTTGAGACAGGTCAGATGAAAAGGAAGACTTAATTAGAGAATTCTAAGGACAGCTGTGGAGTGATTGCTACCAGCAAGGAATGTGCTTGGTCTTAGGATTTCATATAACCTTTGTGTTACCCAGTGGTGATGTGATACAGATACTTCCAGCTGGGTGATTCCAACATGGCTGAACAGCAGCATCCACCCTCTCAGACAAGATTGTGTTAAAAAATGCTCAGCCTCTCCTGAGCCCTCACTTTGACATGGTGACTTCAGGGAGGTCTTTATTTTGCCTTTTTGGGTCCACAGTTCAGCAAGCTTTTACTGGTGGTGTGGTCCTTGGGAGCTTGTGAACTGAAACTCTGACTTCACTGTATCCCCGGCTGTCTGCACAAAAACCTGGCTTGTGGAAAAGGTCTTTCTTCAACAAGAGCATTTCCAGAAGTTAGAACAACAGGAAGCAACTTCACAGTGTTTCAAATGCTTTTCTTTGTAGTGTTTATTACAAGTCTGAAAGATCCCTGTAGTCTATTTGGGCTAACTGAACCTGACCTGCTTGAAACCTGTGAAGAGACACCTTCTGGCTTTGCTGTTCATCAAGAGGTGCTGGGATTCACAGTGGTACATGTCTGGAGGCTGCCATGGGATTATCCCTTGGACAGAGGAGCATCAGAAAGCTGACATTTTACAGGCAGTAGTTGTACTTTTGATAGTAGCCCAGACAGATCAGTGTGACTATGTGTCACAGCTATAGAGCTGGAAATGATGGAGATGACCCTGAGGCAATAAATTTACTGTATCTGGTTATGTGCACTTGAGGTAGACACACTGTGAACATCTGACAAGCTGGACCCAGATATGCCTTTGTCAAAGGTATGTGGCAAAATAAGTTTTGAGATAATTTTATTACTATCAGTGTTTATTGAATGCTACTGAAGTGATTGGCTATCTGAGCCTCATAGAATGTAGCCACCATGTCCAACATTTACAAGTCAAAGCCTTGCTACTGAATTGTCTGGCACAGACCTCTGTGCTTGAGTTACGTGAATATATTGGATAGCAGAGACCAGGTGATAAAACACCCAGATCTACAATTTCATCTAGGAATGGAGGCCTGGACAAAGCATGGACAAGAGACAAGAAGAGGACTTTGGTTAAAGTAATTGTACTGTCTCTTTCTGGTGGATCACTGTAAAATCTTCATGGGATGGGATGATTGCCTATAAAGCAGTGACAGAGCATCTATTTGAATTATGGGAAGTGTGAGGGAGTCCCAAATGTGAAGACAAGCACTGGCAAATGGCTAAAGGTGTGACTGGATGAGCCAAGTTCATGGAAACAGAAGGAGTAGATTGGATTGAGAGAATTGTGAAGAACCAAGAAATATACATTGAGAAGCTTTAAGGTGCACCTGTGATTTGGTGTCAGAACTCAGAGGCAGACTGGGTATTTTGGCAGAGGGAAAACAAGGTAGAAGCCTATTTAAAAATGCAAGGGACAGGGGAGTACTGAAGATGAGTAACAGAAATGCTGGGAGAACCATACTTTGGGAGAGACTGCTAGAGTTCTGGAGCTGCTGGATGGGAACCCGGTATGCATTCAGTAAACTGAAGATGTCACTGCCATCTGGGTATTAGAGATGATAATGAAAAATATGTAGGTTGATAGGAAAGAAAAGAGCTGTTTTGATGCAAGAATGAGAGAAAGCACAAAAGAAATTTATTCTGGGCTATCAGATGGTTCATACAACTGAACCCTTGGAAAGGCTGATAGCATGCACACATTTTTCAGAATGCTCCAGGAAGGCACTACTGTCTCCTTTTTTAATGATGAGAAGTCAAAGCACAGAAATACTAAGTTCAGTTGCCTGAGGTCACATATATTTTTCTGATACAGCCAAGAAAGAATGTGCCTTTTGAATCCTATGCCAGCATCTTTAACACATTACTGCTGTTCCTTACAGCAGTGGTGAGAAGAGATGCAGGAGCAGGGAAGGAAAAGGAAGGAAAAATCATATGGAAAAGTCAACTGGGGACATACACTAATTCCAAATTATACTAGATCACACTGTTTTTTTCTCCTGTTTTCAACAGCTGTGTGTGTACCTACTGCTGCAAAGGCTTCCTGGCTCAGCTGGAGCACAGGTGAATGTTAATTCCAGGGTAAGCTCTGGTCCAAGCAAACGTAGGCTGCATCTGCCTGGAGGGCTGCCCGGCTCACAAATCCAGGCCAACTCCAGCTGAATTTGTGCAGAGCCAGATCTGGTTATCAGTGACTTGTATAATCAGGCATACAAAAGACATCTGAGGGACTCTCTCCAGATCCAGCAGAACTGTGTGAGTGCTGCAAGCTTAGGCTGGCGTCAGCACTGCTATTCTGCAATGGCTTGAAAGAGGAGGCACTGTGAAATGTGAATGAGCAAAATCAGCCCAGATACAGCATAGGCCTCAAGGGGAAAGTCAGTGCACGAAAGTGGCATTGTGTAAAACCAGGATGAGTCTGGCCAGCTCTGGCTGAGCTACTGGGATCCTTGTGTGCAAGATACCCCGGCATGTCCTGGGTTATCTAGGGGGTTGTTGCCAGGTGTTCCCAGTCCCCTACAACCTTAAATAATGCCATGCTGTCAATCTGTACTTGAAAACAAAAGACTGCAGATAGATGTTGCAAACATCACAAGTGCTTCTGGTGGTTATACAAGAAAAACATGCAAAAGTTAAAGACCATGCTAAAAACTACAATCTCCTGGTCAGATATTAACTGATGGAAACATAATGGAACAAACTTTAAACTTTCAGATATGTTTGCAACACTGAAGCATAGTGGAAGGTTCTGGAGAGCATTGGAGAAGTATATTTAATATGGGCTTGTCATTTCTGGAGCAGCAGGGCAGCAAGCATGTGTCATTTCAATGTTTAGACATGCTGCATCTGCTGTAACATAGCTCCTCTCTTCTGGAATAGCTTGATGAATTACGTTGTAGTTTGCAAAAGTTACTCAAGTTGGATGAGTTTCAATCCTGTAATTCAAACATACTTGCTTCCCTCCCAAAAATAAGCAGCCAAAAGGAAAATAATTAATAGATACAGAAGTGCACAGGAACCAAAATTCTGGCTCTGAAGTGTAGTTTTTGTGTGCTTTTTGCATTATTAATGTGAAGGCTGTAAGATCCACAACCAAAAATGGCACTAGAACTGAGAGTCAGGAGATACTATTGATATGGCAGAGTCCAGAATGTCTTTTGGCAGGCTTTTGACTTGTTTAAACACCCTCTTTGCAGCCTTGACCTCAAATCTGTCCCTCCTTCCTCATGTTTTCTTCCAGCCATGAAGAAGACTTAAACTAGGTTTCCCAGAGTGCTTATTTTTTGTGAAGTTGGAGCAAGGTTGTGCTACGTAGCAACAGGAATTTGCCACAAGTAATTAAAATATTAGTATTCCCTTTGTTTTTGGCAGGTTAATAGTAGTAGCAGTCATGAGTCAAACCAAGACTTTAAAACTCAGCCATCTGAAACAAGAAAGCTCAGGAGAAATCTGCCAGGTAGCTGACATGATGGGACACCTGAATGGGTGCCTGGCTATAAATATTGCCTGTGATGTGCTTTGCACAAACTTCATTTTTAGTATCCCTTTTCCATGGACACAGTGTTCTTTTCAAGCAGCCACCAGGCAAAGGGAGGTGAGGTCAACAGAGCAGCTGGGTGCTCTGCCCCCAGGCACTGCTGCCAACTCTGCTCTTTGGCAAAAGGGTGGAAGGAGGAACTGGCACACTTCACCCTTGTCATGTGTTCTAATATCAAAATATTCCCAACTTCAGGTTTGGTAGAAGCTGAGCAGATTTGATAGGGATTTCACTTACCTTTCAGATTTCAAGGTCTGGTGCTACTGTTTGGGTAGTGACAGAGATCAGAGCCAGACTTACCTAGTCTGGGATCTCCCCAGAGTTCGGATTTGTTCTTAGGAGAATGGGTGTAGTTCAAGCTCATCTGCTTTCTGTGAAGCTCAGTTCTCCTGCCAGTTCTGGGAAGAAGCTGAGCAGAGGGGAGGCCTGATCTGGCACATACACATTGAAGAAGCAGAACATATGAGTAGGAAAATGCTTTGCTTCAGGGTTGGGTCACCACAAGCTCATAGAAGACTAAAAGCCAAACTTTTCCAAGCAAGACTAGATATGCCAAAATATCACAGGAGGAGCTGCTGGTGGAATAGTTCCAGCCCAGCTGGAAATACTGGAGATCACAGTAGAAAATGAAGAATGATTCCAAAAAACCTTCTTCCTGATCCTACTCTCAGCAGAGCTGATTTCATGACTTAAAAAGCCAGAGGACATAGACAAACTGAACAGTCATGACTGAGTATTCAGTGTTGCTGTTCAGTATCTGGAACATATTTAGGAGTTGTAGCTGTGGGTTAGATTTCCTTTGTGGTGTGTGCTGAGAATCATAGAACTCAGGAGTGATGGTCCTTGGCCCAGAATTTTTAAACAGGAACCATATGCAAACCCATCCAGATCTCTTTGACTAGGAATCATCCAGAACAACACTGAACACATACAGCTGATGGACTTGAAAAATCCATAATTTCAGTAAAAAATTTGAATCAATAATTTTATGTCATTGTTGGGAGGATTACATTACATCCATGAGTCTGCTTTTCTTCACGGTACAGTCCTACTCATCACTTGCCTGGAAAGCTCTTGAAGTAGGAACCATCCACTTCTCTGTACAGCAGGGAGCTCAACAGGTCCCAGCCTTGTGTTTAGGACTTCAGATTGCTGCAGTCACAGTTAATAAGGAATCATGCTCAGATACTATTCTGAAGTAAAGGGTTGAAACTTAATTTGAAAATAAAAGACTGTGGGGCAGAGTAGAATAATCTGTATCTTTTTCATTGTGACAGAAAAGATTTCTTTCCATGTAAAGTACCAGAGAAATACAATTCAGCCGGTGTCAGTTCTACAGTAAAGCTTTTCTTCCGAGTTTGCTGTGACTATTACAGGAGGGGACTTCGCGCCAAACTATTAAATGCTGGCTATTGTTTCTGGAGATCACTGTGTTCTTGCTTCGGCTTTCACCTTCTTCTCCTTTCCCTGTTTTCTTATGTGTCCCTTTGCTGATCACAGGAGCTGGTGCTGACTTCGTCATGATTGGAGGAATGTTTGCAGGCCATGACCAGAGTGCTGGAGACATTATAGAAAGGAATGGCAAGAAGGTGAAACTATTCTACGGAATGAGCTCTGATACAGCCATGAAGAAGCATGCAGGAGGAGTTGCTGAATACAGGTACGAATTCCACACAGGAGCAATTGCAGTGTGAACCATCCATCCAGGAACTTTTGGAGCAGAATTGTGCAGAAGGAAACAGGCCTATGCTGCTACTCCCATTGAAGCAGCTGTTGCCTGTACTTTTGACAGCAGATCTGAGGGAGGGATGACATTCAGAGGGGGATAGGGAGAAAGAGCTGGGGTTGGCTAGCTGAGAGCAGTGATGTTCACATGTTTGCAGTTAGTGTGGTGTGCTGCACCAGTTGTGTGGTCTGGGAAGTCATTAGGCATTCTCTGACTTACTGCTCTTTCAGGATGTGTATGAACTAAATGCTGGAACATGGCATACCAGGCTGCAGTTTCTGTCCCTCTGCTTGTCCACACTGGTGCCTTCTTGGTGCAGGGATTCCCAGCTAACCCACATGCTCCCTTCTGCTTGCAGAAGGGAAAGTAGGTGCTGATGAACTGGTGAAGCTCAGCTGGGGTTTCTCCAGTATGGAGATGAGGGCCCAGGACCTCCAAAGCATTCTGTCACCACCAGCAGCTCTGGGACTCCCTTCTCCATTTGTTGGGCAGTCTTCATAGGCAGTAGAAACCTGCTGTACAGTTTTCCCCCCCGCTCTTTTGGTAGCAAAGCACCAGAGTAGTCTCAAATGCAGAATGCAGAAGCTTAGTTTTTGAGCTAAATCCTCAGGGGAGAGGAAAGGAATCTGCAAAGAAATCTGTTGACCATTGCTGTTTTACTCTGGAAAGTGCTGAGAATTTTGACTTTTTGGAAAAGCAGATGACATCAGAAAACCTGTGTCTTTTCTCTTATGAGTGGCAGTCTTAGTCACTCTTCTTGGACAGCATGGTTCTTAAATACTTCATTAGAGAATGAATCCTGTCTTACAGTAAACACTGGTTTATTGAGGGGTCCCTTTTGATTCTTTTCTGCTGGCATAAATTCAGGCTCTGGTCCCATCTGGTAAACTGCTGATTGCAAGAGTCTCAGTACACCTGCAGTTCAAGCCAGACACTCGGGATTGATAGGTTTTCTGGCCTCATCTGCTAAAATCACTCCAGCATACAGGTTTTTCACATGTCCAGCTGCTGCCATGGGTAAGAGTTGCAGCTCTGTGATGGTGACAGCACAGAATGTAAAGCAGAATGGGATCCGCAAAACAAAATGGAATTCATGCTTTGACACAGAGACAAGCTGATAGATAGCAATCCCAGATGTCATGCTAGATAGAAGGATCATGGATCCTACCTCCTGTTCTCCACCCCAGCATTGACTGCTGTGGTGGTTTTTGTCTTCACCATAAAATTGCGCACTCGTTCACATAGCACTTGTGCAAAGTGTACAGTGGTAAAACTTGGCCTCCATCAGAGCATTTACAACCATCTCCTTTGGCAGATTGTGGCATTACAGAATCATTTGGGTTGGAAGGGACCTTTAAGGTTCATCTAGTCCAGTGTCCCTATAATGAGCAAGAGCATCTTCAAATAGATGAGTTTGCTCGGAGCCCTGTCCAGCTTGGCCTAGAGTGTTTCCAGGCATGGGGCATCCACCAGGTCTCTGGGCAACTTGTTCAGTGTTTTTGCTTTCAAACACAACTGTTTAGTTGCAGAAGAGCTGCACAAGATGCCATCTGCATCTGAGACAAGCTGAAATGATGCACCAGACAGATGTGGTTGTATATCTCTCAGCTGTGATTCACTTTGGGTTCACATGCCACTCCCCAAAAGCAGTGCACAATCTGGGTGCTCTTTTTTCTTTTTTTGCCCCCTAGCAAGTCTTCTTGTCATCAAAGCCTCTGAACAAATGGTTTGAGTGGACAGCACTAATAAGTGTGTCATAATATAAAAATGGCAGCTGCCAATTGCATGGTGGTGCTGGCAACCTTTTACCTGAATGATCATTTCCTGTCCTGTGCTACCCTGTGCTTGAGTCAGCTGGAGTGTGGGAAAGGCCTGATGCTACTCAGGCATGTAGTTAATGGCAGCTCCCTGAGAGATCACTGAGCAGCCCAAGTGTGCTGTGTGGATCTCAGTGCAGCACAGTCATTAGGGCCTGGCCTCCAGAGAGCTGTGCAAGTTGTAGGAGGAGTTTGAGAAAGCTAGCTGTACCAGGAGGACAAAGGACTAAGGCAGCTCTTAAATTCTGTTCTACCTAGTTAGGTGTGTGTGATCTGGCAACAAAATTTATTGCTAGCAGGAGAACTAATTGACACTGGTCCCTCTTAAAAATGACATAAAGTGCAAGTATCCTGTCTTGTAGGAGGAAAGGATGTACAGAAAGGTGCTATATTTGGCTCAGTCTAGACAGACCTTTTGAACTGTTTATTGGCAATGCTATACAAATTTGGCTTGATCCATACCTGTATTTTGATTTGCATCCTCGATTTGAGAATTCCATGGGGACCAGGTTCTGAAACTTTCTCAGCAGCAAGGGAGCAGGAGCACAGTCTGAAGTTTTTAGTCCCTGTTGAGATACTGCATTTCTGTGCCACTAACAGGTAGCATAGAAGGAGTTTCCCAGTCTACTGCTAGATACAACAACTCCAAACACTAAATCTGTGAGCCTTGGCTCTTAACTAGGAAGGTGCTGATGCTCATCTTCACTCTATGGCCATGACACTGAGCTGGCTACCTGTACCAACCTTGGGCTCAGTCTTCCTTGGCCTGTCCCAGCATGAGTGTCACTGTGGTTTAAAAATAGCAGCTGCTAAATCGAACATTGTAAATGTGCTGGGCATTGAAGGGGGATTTGAAACAGCACAAGGTATTCTTTCAGCTGCTCTTATAGTAAAAGTTACAGGAAGTTTAATCACTTCCTAGTTTAGCTGATGGCAAAAGAGTTCTTAGTCGGCATTTTAAATGCTAGATACCCCAAACTTGATCCAAACAGGTCAAGTCAGTGGGCCTCCTTTATATGCATTTAAAAAGCTCAGCTGTAAGTCTGTATTGGTCACCCAAATAAGTTGTTTTGTCTTTAAAAGAGCCTGAACACTCACAGTGTATTATTTGAGCAGTGAGGAACTCTGTGTGCTCAGTCCCCTGCAGAATCAGACTGCTTGTCATTTAACTTCATCTTCTCAAAATTACGTGTGTTGGCTGGAGAACCTGAGCGTGCAGCGGTTATATTAAAACTGACAGATAAGGTGAGATGGCTGTGGCAGGGAATAAAGTCATGAGAGTAATTGTTTTTATAATGAATATGTCAAGCTGATCCCATTTAATCTGTGTACTCACTTTCATTAATCTTATGTAATTTATATATTGGCTTATTTTTACATTTTCACCTCCATCCATGACGAGTATGGATCAGAGCTGGGGATTTCTGAAAGGCAATTTTTATATTTCTTTTTTGGGAGAAGAGAAAGAAGGCAAGCAGGGACTGAGTGTGCATGCAGTATTGTTCAGTATGCATGCAGTGTTTGAGCCAATTTGTTTTTGTTAACCCTTTTGAAATTTCACGGGTTTTGTGTGAACGCTGCAGTTCTGTTGTGGCCACTCAGCAATTCACAGCTGCTACTAAGCTGGGTTTGAGCACTTTAAATTAACTGCGGGGTGAAATTTTGGCCACAGAGACAGAATAGCACCAACTGCTGGCTGCTGCTTATCAATCTTGTGTATCCCAAATGATAGCCTGGATGACCTGCCCCCAGTTCCTCTATTTCTTATAAGCCCCACTCATGCCAGGACAACCTGACCCCTTTATTCTGACCCACATTTTGTTGGGCTGACAGAGCACCATCGCATGTGCTTCATCCCATGCAGTCTGCCAGGATTCCCACCCACCACGCATCCCTCCATGCAGCAGCCTTCAGCTGGCCAGGAGGGGCACCACACACCAGGCCCTTTGCAGAAAGTCTGAAGCAAATAATTCTCCCTTTCTATTCAGTGGCTGACAAGAGTCAGAGTTACTGCTGAGAGCATCTGAGCACACCTTTCCCAGCCACTGGGAGCCACAATTGCTCTGTCATCACCTTTCTTTCTGAGAAGGGGTTACTTTTGGGTCATAACTCCAGGAGAGATGTCGGAACAGCAAAACCCTCATCAGTTCCTGCTGACTTGCTTATGCAGCTCTCTGCCAAGTGTGCCATCTTTTGTGACAGCGCGTGTAATCCGTTGTCATGGCTTATCCCGGCAGGCAACTAAACACCACACAGGCACTCACTTACTCCACCCCCCAGTGGGAAGGGACAGAGAATTGGGAAAAGAACAGCAAAATTCATGGGTTGAGATAAAGACAGTTTAGTAGGACAGAAGAAGAAAGGATAATGACAACAGCAATAATAATATACAAAAAAGTTATACACAGTTTTTCACTACTTGCCAACCAATGCTCAGGCAGTTCCTAAGCAGTGGTCCCAGCCAACTTCCCCCCCTGGTTTATATACTGAGCATGTTGCTATATGGTGTGGAGTGTCCCTTTGGCCAGTTTGGGTCAGCTGTCCTGACTGTGTCCCATCCTAACTTCTTGTGCCCCTCAGCCTACTTCCTGGTGGGGTGGTGTGAAGAAAAGGAAAGTCCTTGACTTGCAGTAACCACAGCTTGGCAATAACTAAAACTGGTGTGCTGTCAACACTGGAATGCTGTCCACAGGACACAGTCCCTTTACAGCTGTCCCTGCTCTGGCATGAGTCACACAGGGATTACACTCCCTTTGGGAGTGCACATCTTCAGCATGGACCACCTCCTTTCAAGGGTGCCTCTAACTGCACATCTCCTCAGGTGTGTCCAGGTGTGTTTCCTCTCCCAGTGGCCGCTGCTGTTTCATAAATACACTTGAGGAGAGGTGTCATGCACTCCTCTGACTTGCTGAAAGTTTGGTGGCTCACACTATTTTTAGGGCCAGGTGGAACATTTCTGGAATGATGCAGGTCATGGCTTCTTCCACCCAGGTCACACTGGCCCCCCATGTCACCTGAACCCTACCGTGTTTGCCCAGCACAGCACCCATGTGGGTGCTGGTGGAAGTCAGCTGGGTGGAAGTCATCACATTGGGAACTCATGAATGTGCTAACAGGGTGTTTGGACATAAATAATTTGGGCATGCATGCATAAACTGATTGGATGTTTATGCAAAAATTATTGGCCGTTCATGCATGAATTAATTGGACACTTGTGCATTAATTTATTCAGTGCTCATGCATGATCTAATCTGGCACTCACACAAGAACACAGCAAGCCCAGCAATTTATGGCCTATACATCACTCCTCAGGAAGGCATGTATTGGGCAACTCTTAGAAGGTTAATCCAGTATGAACTCTTTGTACATCATCACAGTCTTAATGTACCTAAGTTAAAAACTCAATTTTTCCTCCCCGTGGACCAGCCAGGGATTAATACTGTAGCAGTACACTTAGTAAATGTCTCCTCCATCCTGAGCACTGTGTTAAAGGGTGGTTAACATTTGGTTATATACCCATATGGATACAGATCCCACCCTTGGGCCAGACTACAGCAGTTAATAGTGCACCAGTGTGTGCATACATGTAGTAAAATTCCACCCACGCTTCTCTGGGAACCAGATGACTCCTCAGCTCGATCTGAGCAACATACTATCTCTTAAAAACCCCTTTCCTCTGGGGACAAGACTATTTGGGTTAATGTTTGCACAGATTGAGTATATTCAGAAACTTCATCCCCTTATCCCTGTGGACAAGGCTGTGGAGCTAATCTCACCTCTCTTCTAGTGTGTTTTCCCCAGTACGGTGTCTGCAGGTTACTCCTTGATCAAGAGGACATCCCACCAGCTCATCAGCTGGCACTTTGAGGAGCACTAGCAAGTGTTTATCTGTCATAGCTTTGAGACTGTGTCATTAGGTGTTCACCACTTTTGTAGATCTTGGTCTCCGAAGTCTAAAGTGACAACCCACAAACTTCAGCTTCCTAACATCACCGTAGCCACTGCAGGAACATCTCCCAGGGGCAGTGGCTGCAACCATCACCCATTCCTGTAATTTTTCACTGAAAAAAGGACCACCAAGTGTTCATGCTCATAGGAGCAATGTGCAACTTACGACCCACAGGATTCTCAAGCATGAATTAACAAGGTATTTGCATTTGAGCTGATGGTGCATTGGTGCATCAGGTAATTGACCTCTCATGCATGAACTGAATGGGTAGATATGCACGACTGCAGTAAACAAAACCTTGACCAGAACAGCATGCAGAGCTATTCAGCTGGCAGGATGTGGTAGAATTTGCACTGGTTTCTGCAAATCCCAGACATGTAATTGTCTCTCACAATCTCGCAGGAAGCTCCCTAGAGCCTGAGCTCAACCTCCCAACTTTGACTGGAAGATATGGGCATGGCCAAAAACAAGGAACAGTGGCATGAGTGTCATTTCATGGGTTCAGCCTTTTCCTTCTGGCACTGGAGCTGAAAGTAGAAGCCTGGGAACTCCCGGCAGTGCAGGCCATACAACAGACCCCTAAGCCGTGTGCAGTCTGCGAGATGCCAGTGGCACGTCCATCTTCCATTGGCCACTCACTGCAGTGTTTATTTAAGAGTTTCAAGAAAGAGTCAATTGCTCATCATATGTAGGGAGATTAATCATGGCTCCTTACTCACATAGTATATCAACACTTTGCCTTTATTGTTTCCCTAGGGCTGTGACCCCACATTTAAACTAACAGGATGAAATATAGCCAGGCTTACACTGAAGTACCTCCACATAGCAGCTGTTGCTGTTGTTAATGATTCACAAATGGAGCCCACAAACAGGCATGCCCTTTCTTGTACTATCCCCTGGAAACTTTTTTAAGGAAGAAGCAAATAAAGCCACATTTAGAACAGTGACAGACTGCTGCCATGATTTCTGCCTCCATTTTGTAGGCAAAAGGAAAGCATCTCCTCTTCCCTCCACCCTCCATTTCCGAGGCTTGCATTCCCAGAAGAGCCAGTGTGCCAGGCAGAACAAGCTTACCGTAAAGTATAGTGGGATCAGGTGCTGATTAAGGGTCTCTGCTACAGAAGGGATTGCTAAACATGGGCTGGAGAAAGCTGGAGGAGGAGTGTAAGGTATTTGCCTGGATTCTTCCATCTCCTGTTGTGCTTTTTGGGAGCAGTGCAGTCTGTGCTGGCATGCACCAGCACTCGATAGTATTCACAGCACTGGTATTTTTCTGCCCTTTTTGCCTGGCTAGATTGTGCTAGATCACCTTCTAGCTTCAAGGGACAGCTGTGTTGCAGGTTTCTGTAACAGGTTTCCCACTCCCTGTGAGCTCTGGGGAATCACACTGGTAGGAGAGGCAGAGCACTTCCACCTGTGTCTAATCAGTAACGCAGGACAGAGCCCAGGGGCTGTGAAGCCTCTGTAGAGCTGTGTTGGGTGGAGCCAAACAGCTCCAGCATTTCTCTGTTTGAGTCTGGCCATTCCTTACACTTTAAAGCTTGCAGCTCTCACAGTCAAATTAACTTTTCAATAAAGCTGTAAGTTCCACTTGCTTGTAGCCAGATGGTAGAGGGGAGGAAGGGGCAGATCTGTAAATAAAGTCATGGGATATTGGAGCATCTACAAGATCTGTCTGCTTCAACTTCTCAGTGTTTGTTGTGAGTGGAGCTGAGGTGTTTCAGTGCTTGAGAGCACCAAGCAGCACCAAGCAGCAAGCAGTAAAGCTGGGGGCCTGTTTGTAAACTGCAGCCTGCAGAGTTAAGCTCCACATTGCTCCATCATAAACACTCAATGTTTTGCAACCAGATGAATGCAGTGACTGATCTCTTCTCCAGGGCTTCAGAGGGCAAGACTGTGGAGGTACCATACAAAGGGGATGTGGAACACACCATCCTGGACATCCTCGGCGGGCTGCGCTCCACCTGCACCTATGTGGGAGCTGCCAAACTCAAGGAACTGAGCAAGAGGACGACGTTTATCCGGGTCACCCAGCAGCACAATGAGGTCTTCTCCTAGCCGAGGCCTGGGGGCCTGGAGAGAGGGCTGGGGGAGAAGAGCAGGAAGGGCTGCTCTTTGCTTTCTCCTCCATGTTGTGTTAGTGGCTAACTTCCCTCTCTCTCTCTCAGAATGGCAATGTTATAGCCATTGGCTATGGCTGGGATTTGGAAGGGGAAGGTCATGCACATTAACACAGTGCCATCAGAATTCAATAGCCTCATATTTTATCGTTGTGCCTATTTTATTTTTTAATCATTTCTTCACTTGTTTTTTTGCCCCCTCTGATAAATAGCTGCTGAAACCTCAGTTAACAAGGAATTGGCTTGTACAGACATGGCTGTTAACGCCTGCACACATTCACACATTCCCTTTTCTAAGACTGACCTGTCAGCTACCACCATTTTCTGGCAGTGCACCTTTCAGAAATTGCAGGCTGGGAGAAAAAAAGATGCAAGGAATTGCATGGAGAAATAAAAAAACCCTCAAATTCTCTTCATCTTTTCTCTGACTAAAGAATGGATGTTATGGCACAGCTGCCAGCCTGCAAAATGTCAGAGGTGGATGGTAGATGAGGCCTGGCTGCTGGTGATATGTGATGCTAAAAATGCAAGATCTCTGTCGCTTTCAGTTCACAGGGCTGATGTTCTTACTTGAACCTCCCTGTTCAATGGACTTATCCCTTCAGAGAAGTGGGCACTGAATGTAGCAAAACCATGCTGGCCCCCCTGCCCCCATGTGAGGAGATCATTCAGGTGATCACTTTTCAGAGCTTGCCTGCTTTATCATAAGTGCAGTTATTGAATTACCTGGGTTTCCTGCTTTTACCTGTTCTCTGGGAACAGATTTTTAAGACATTGAAACTCAGCAACTGTAACGCTGACAAGAGGGGATGATTCTTTGTAGCCCTCCCTGTTCCCTTGCCTGCTCAAACCCATTTAGCAAAGATGTAAAAATGCTGTGCATTGTCTGTGGCTAGGTGGAGAAGGTCAGAGGGATTGAATTGCCTTCTGGTTATGTGGTACCACTCCTTTGCAGTCTTTGACATCATGTAAAGCAAGAGAGAGCTTTTGGCAGAACAGCCTGGTTGATTGCAAGACACTGTCAGGCTGAGATAGAGTTAAAGCACTTGCTCTAAAGGTTTGAGACTCTGGGTAACACCTCAGTAAAGTATAATGGCCTGATAATTAATTGATAAATCACAATGAAAATTTCTTTGGAAATACATGTTGCATTCACATGAATACCACAGTAGCTTGATATGATAAATTATATAAAAGTGAGCACCAGTGAATTAATAATCCTTGGCCACTTACTTTAAACTGTTGAGATCATAATGCAGCTAATGTTACTTCAGTACTTCAGACTCTTACTTTCCCCTCCTGTAGACATCTGTGGAAAGAGGCCAAGCTTCCTTTGAAAAGCAAAAAAGTGATCTGTAGGAAAAGGAATAGCAAAGAGAAACTCTAGAATTAAACTCATATGCTGGACTACTCAAGAAGCCCAGTCACAAGGACTGGTACAATTGGCCATGCTGAGAAGCAAATTCAGGCCACAAGCTGATCCCTGGTGATTTTTAAGTGTGTTGTGCACATTAGAAAAAGCACAGGGTATCTTCTAAATTGCCTGGTATTTTAAATGTCTTCCATTTAACATGTAGGATGTACTTTTTAATTGTGGGATGACCTCTTCCTCTGCTTTGGAAGAGGATGAGGGCCTTGATGTGAGCACAGGTTGTGCTTGTGCTGGCTGCAAGGACCATTTGTCTTGCCCACATATCATAAAGGAATGCAGAAGAGAAGCAGGCCCTGTGAATCCAGGCCCTGATCTCTGTTCCCTCCAGCCTGGAAGCATCATGTTAAGAGAATGCCAGGCTTCTTTACCATAGAAAGGTGCCACGGGCCACCCACCTACTGCTCTCAGCTGCACTAGGCACAGAGCAGGGGCAGTGTGACCTCTCTGCATCAGTACAGCTGTGGGACAATGCTGTTCCTCTGTTTACATGATGTAAAGGGGAAGCAAATGGACATCTCTGTCAGGAGTGGGGTTGGACCACCATGGCCCAGGCCTGACCACAGGCATGTCTCCACACTGGTGCCTTTACATGTGGGAATTGCAGCACTCTGCTGGTCTCATGCCCACTCTCACTAGCGCTTTTCTACTTTTTTTAGCTACATTTCTAAGTGGAATTTAAGAAATACATATGCATATAAGAAAAAATATATATTTGTAAACATTTTTTTAAAAGATCATGCACACACCAAACCAAGCAGCTTCATGATGGCCTCAAAACAGTTTCTTTTCCGAAGGGCAGGTGCTGGGGGCAATGGGAGGCTGCCTCTCTACAAATGTGGCAAACTCTTCCACCTCCTTTCCTTCCCCTCCTGCACATACCTCTGATCAGTGGCTAACACGAGAGGGACAGGCTATTCTTAGGCTGTCCCCAGAATTCTTCAGGCTGTGAATGACATTGATGCCATGAATGGTGACTGATAAAGTTTTGATGTTACCTATTTGGTTTTCTGAATAGCAGGTCTTACCATTTTTTTGATAAGCAGCATATTTTCTTTTGTTTTCTCCTCTTCAAAAGTGAGCAGGAGAGAGAAATGAGATGCAGAAAGGCTGAACTGGTGGCACGTCTGCATCTCACCCAGTTATATGTGAATTTTGTTCAGGAATAACCCTTAGCTATGTCAGTGCTCGTCATTGACAATGTACATGTGCAGCTCTTAGACAGGCTGGAAAATACAAAAAAAAAAAAAAAAAAAACCCCCCCCCCCCCCCCCCCCCCCCCCCCCCCCTACCCTCACAAACTGTAGAGTAAAAATTCTTCAATTTCCTAAAAAAAAAAAAAAAAAGCGCTTGAGTCCCCCTTTAACACCTGTTCTTGTGCTGCAGTCATTGTCCTGATCTTCACCTAGCTCCAGGTCCCATACCCTGCTCAAGCCTGCTGCCACTCCCACAGGGAACCGAGGAACACACACTTTGTCTGGCAGGATGGTCCAAGTCAAGACCACAACCACTGACAAATGCCATGTGCCATTTGTGGATCTACCTCACCTGCACATCTAACTGGGTTCTTTGTTACTTGGTGTCCTTTTGTGGGAAATGAAATTTGTAAGTGCTTAATAATGCTTAATGTTGAGTGATTCTGCATAACCAGGTCTTCTTTAACCCTACACCCCAACCCCATCCTGTCCAGAGGAATGCTGTGATTGTGACAGCATGTACTCTAGGCCAGGGCCATGCCTTCTTCCCCCAGCCAGGCAATTGTTGAGCTCCCAAGAGCAGTGTTGAGGCTCCCACTGGCTCCACAGGGGTGCAGCTTAACATACCAAAGACCTACAAATGGGGAGCAACATTACATCATTAAACAATCCCTGCTGAGCTCCCCCTGGTGCTCCCAGTGCTGCTCTGGGGTTGCCTTGCTGCAGCACATTTTGCAGGGTGGGCTCCTGCCCACAGAGCCTGCTTACCAGAACTCTCCTTGGGAGGGAAGGGCTCGGCACAGGAGCAAAACCATGCTGGCCTTGCTCACTCCCCAGTGACTCTGTGGTGGCTGTGAGGAGTGCATTGTGCACGTGGACGCTTCGTAGTAGGTGTGAACAGTTGCAAAGGAGATGGGCCTTGAGCCAGCATCCTGACAGGTGCAAAACAAGCCACAGAGGTCTCCCTTCTCTGGGAGAAACACATTCGCATCTGCTCATTGGAACAGCCAGTCCCCATTGGCTATGGGGCAGGGGCTTCAGCTGTGCTTTGGTGAAGCTTTCTTCTCCCTTAGGGCATGGTGGGGTTGAATGTAGGATGAGGACACTCTGTAAATACAGAGAGTTGTAAGCAGGACCCAGAAGCCTCTGTTTGCCTTTGGGTGAGCTTTTCCCATATAAAATGTGCCTGTCTCTTCTTTCAGCTAGTCAATAGCAGGGGTAGAAAGGATGGGCCAAAGGAGAAACGTGGCAGCTGTTGGCCAAGCCCCACTGTGTTGGACCAGGTGCTTTCAGTCAAGGACACAGTGAGAGTTTGAAGCATTTCTAAACCAAGCACTCCCTACTTTCTACCTGTTGAAGTCCACTCTCGTGACAGACTTGTTGCTGCAGCTTTCTGCCACTGCATGTACAGTGTCTGCCCATCACCATCTCACATCCCCCACTGGGGGATGTTGCTGTCTAGTTGCTAATACCAGTTTTACACCAAAACTTCTCTTTTGGAGCCAGGAGGGCTTTTGCAACCAGTGCCAGATTTGGCCTTACGTAGAAGAGAGGGGAGAAAAAAAAAAAAGCCAAGGCCCAAGAACAGGAGTTTTTCCTCCACAGCAGCCAATGCCAGCAGGTGGGAGAGGGCCAGCCCTTCCCTGTGGGCTGAGAGCTGCCAGGGGCAGCAGGCTTGAAGCATGTCTCGAGCAGATGCTGGCACAGCTCTGCACTCAGGACAGACCACCCGCTGCAGCCTTAACTTCATTTGTGGTCACCCAGATGCTTAAGTGAGCCCTCCCCAACATTTATTTGACCCAGTGTTAGCTGGCTAAAGTTTTCATACATAAATCAGCAGTTTGGAGTCCAGAACTCCCTGGTGTTGCCTGTGAAAACTGTGAAGTGCTTCTGTGTCATTGGCCAAAAAGCTGATGGGCTTTCAGTGTTTTGCTGCCCTGCTCAGCCCTGCTGAGATGGTGATGAGAGCGCTGCCCCCCTTCCCTCTGCTGTGGCATCCCCATATGCGTGGCCCAATCATCCCAACTGTTCCCAAGATTTTGTTATGCAATAAAGAGCTTCACCCTGATGGGCTGCAGACTGTTTTATGGCCATGGGTGGGAGGGTAGAGGTGCCTTTGGGCATTGTTGCAAAGAAAAGCCAATGCTCTCAAATGCATTGCTAGGGCAGGGCTGGGGAAGGATGGGTCAGGGAATTAAATTGGGCAAATTATGTCCCTAGGAAAGCTCTCTGCCCTACAGTCATAAAAGACAAAACACACATTTGCAATTGGCACTGTTATTTTATTAGTACGAGTATACTGAAACAATAAACTTGTACTGGTATACAGACAATTTCTTTAAAACAATTTTGTTCAAATTTTGAATCAAACATTGTTTTATTATAATAATGAAATAATTTCTACCTAGAAAACCTGCAAGCACCATCAAAGAAAGGGACCATAAAATTCAATAAACAGACGCGAGTGTATCCTACAAATAGACACACCACCATTAGAAAATAGAATATGAATTCTTCCATTTTTTAATATTTGTTTTAAAAAAGCTAGTGCAAGTACAATATTTTACACTGGAATTACAGAGAGTATGCACGCATATGGAAAAAAGTTCTCCTGTCACAATAAAAGCTCTTAACTATGTCTGTATGCACTTAAAATCTTCTCCTCTTTTCAATAAGGTGCAAAACGTTATTCCCTCCCTATTTTCTCCTTTGTACTGGCCATGTCAGCTCAATTTCTCCCCAACACAAAGCTGTGATATCCCTTTTACTGGGCCTACACTAGGAACGACACTGGAAGTGTGATTTGCAACAACCCTCATTAGTAATACTAGACAATTTAAAAAAAACTTACTTTAAAAACTACTGATGTTGAATGGCTGGACCTGACCCCGGCTCGGCCAAGCGCCGCTGCCAGCTGCTGCCGGGAGTGGTGACATAGCTAGTACAAAATGGATTTCAGTAGCTCACCCAAACTGAAAATGGTTGGGAAATTCCCCCACCCCCACTTTTGTAACACTGCAAAAAGAACAGTGTTCAACAAGTTAATACATTATTAAAAAAAAAAAAAAAAAAAAAAAAGAGCAAATACATACATTAGTGAGTTTCAACATTAGCTGACTGTCGTGAAGAGTTGCATCTATGCCTTACCAGATTAGTAACCACGAAGCGCCTGCCCATCTGAGCCACCTGCAGCCACCCCTGGCCCATTTTTGCCCTCAGCTGCCCAGATCCAAACCCGGTGGACTGGAACAAGAATTCTGCAGAGCTTGTTCAACGGGAGAGTACCTGGGTCCTGGACTTTTAAAGCAAATGCCAGGGTGGAATCCCCTTGCCAGCAGTGTGAAAGGGCAGACCCGCACTGCCTGCAGAGCCAGTGGCCCCACCCTGGCTCCACCCTGGCTGAGGGTCTGGGTTCTGAAGCTTCTGCCCTCACCAATCCTGTGATACAGCAAGGACAGCTTCAACAAGTGACTCCACTCGCTGCAAACAACACTTCCAATGCACACCTACTGCGTGGTCAAGGGAAAGGGCTCAGGAGCTTTAACTGCTCAAAATAGAAACTAACAAAAAAGAAACAACCTTGGATGAAGCCTCCATAAAATCCTCAGTGGAAGACTTGCGTCCTTTCAGCTAACAACAAGAAAAAACCTATGGAAACCTTAGAGACGGTTATTGTATAAATACTACCTGTTGGCTGAATGCACTTCACCGTAACACAACTGGGGCTGGTTTCTGAGTGCCTGGGGGTCACTTGCACAGGGCAAGCATTCCCACCCCCTGTGCCTGCGGGAACCGAAGCTTGGGTCACCTCCGGGGAGGGGGATGGAAGCAGCCTGAAACTTTGCCCTCTCCACCCTGCCTCCAGCTGCCAGCTGCCCAGCTCTATCTTTGGACAGGAAAAGGATCCTCTCTTCAGAAACTGCTTCAGGATCCTCTCCTTTTGGCTTTTGAAAAACATCAGTCTCGCCATTGCTCAAGACCATCACTGGAACCGTGTGACTGTTCCTGGCGCTCTGGCAGCAGCAGTGGGAGAGCCGGGCAGTGACGGGCTGGAAGGCTGAGCCGCCTTGGATACCATTCTGCTGCTAGTGCTGGGCAAGAATACCTTGTTACAAGCACTTCTAGCTCAGGGTTGTACTCTTTGGATTTCATCTGGACAAGGAAGTGCTGAAAAAATGTGGAACAGCATCCCCAGAGAGAGAAAAAAATGGGACCAAAAGGCCTCAGGTGGAAACTACGCAGGCTGTGCTCAGCTGGCAGCAGCTCTCAGCCTGAGGGCTGCCAGCACCAGCAGGGTCCCCACAGTCGGGGCAGCCAAGCCTTGCCTGCCAGGGCACAGCCAAAGCCTCCCTCGAAACCAGCCTTGACCTCTGGGCTGCCAGGGGCTCCCTCAGCGCAGGTGGAAGAGACTTAAAGCCAAAATACAACTGGAGAGTGAGACTCTCATTTTGCACAGTAGCCACCCTTCGAAGTGCCCGGTAGCTGCACTCAGGAATTGCTGCTCCAAGGTATATTTTCAGCACAGGAATAAACAGTGTGACTCCATTCCCTAGAAATGGAACCCATGTAATATGAACAGAAAATTAAGCACAGTTGTTCTTTAAGAGCCTTTTAAGTAATAATTCTTCCTGGCCAGAGCCAATACAAATCAGATCATCTAGACATGACATTTTCTATATACAAAAAACATGTAACTTTCAACCTTTCTCTGCTTTTGTATTTAAAAACTTTTTTTTTACAAACAAGGTATGAAACTCACTGTTCAAACAGAGCCATCTCTTTTTCAAACACTGAATGAATCATTCCAACATTCATTTTTCTTTTGTGCAATTTTTTAAAACATTACCTGTACTCCTCAATGTGAGTGCTTCAAAAAAAGTTTCTATTTTTAATAAGCTTCTCAAATTAGGTTTACATCAAAAAATATTCCCACAAGGTATAGTGCTACAAGAAAAGATCCTATCAGTAAAGGTAACACATCTGAAGCGAGGTCGTCTATGTAAAAGAAATTGAACTCTGGAGTAGAGGTGTGCAACG